AAACGCGGAGTTATACATTCCCTGTTTGAGTGGAGCGACCGGCGATCTGTTCTCCTGTGACCGAGTGTGAGTGACGAGGTCAGAGGTGTAACTGTACTGACCTACAGTGAACTCACCTCTTTCCTTAAATCCTAACCAGCTTTAGCAGCGTTAAATCACAATCCTCACAACTAAAGCGCTGTTACAGCTCTGGACAGTCATATATAAGTATTAGTGCATTTCCAAGCAACAAAAGTGAAAGAAAGAAGTGGGTTCATGTAAATTACAGCCCTGATATAAACGAAAGTAAACCGAGGAAGCTGTGAGGCATTGGAGAGCGGGAGAGCGCTAGCTTTCCAAGCTAGCTGTTTTTAGCAGCTGGCTAACTTGAAGCAGCGTACTGTCACTCACACAACACAGAGAATTGATGATACTGTAGATCAAACACGACACAAAAGCACCGCTTTCAGTTTAAACGTACCTAAAAGGAGGACTCTGTTTGTCTGGTGTTGATATTTTGCGGCTCACCACTTAAATTACTACGATAGTATAGAGAAATCCAGTCGTCGCTAGCTGGTGTCTGAATACTGTGATGTCATTTGTAGCGGGGTAGCCGAGCGCTCGTCACCAGCTAAAAATAATCTGTTTTCTTTCTTAAATTATGACTATTACAAAATAGCCATGCTTTTCCAGCTGGTAAAAACAGCTCACCAGACACTTTCTCCCACTCTCCCATGACAGATCTGTGAAAAGTTCCACTGTTTGAGTGTTTGTCGTGTTCCGACCATAAAGGTTAGTTTAAAACACCAGTTAACCACCCAGGAGCAAAAATCAGCCTTCAAACTTGAAAGAAATAATGATTTGACATTTATCGCGATATGTATCGATATCGAACGATATGAGTTTTGTTTACTGTGATAACATTTTTGGCTGTATCACCCAGCTCTACCTCTTGGTAAATCGACAGTGATTAGTTGGCAGTTTATATGATGATAATTAGGGATGCATCGATAGCAGTTTTTTCAGACCGAGTATGTGTGCATGTTTTTTACTACTTTCCAACACTGATACATACTGAGTAACTGGCATACAATTAAGTAGTTGTTTATGTAACTGAGCGCCATGTACAATTAAAGCATTAAAATCTAGCTAGTTGCATTAGTTAGTTATTTTAGGCCATTAACTAGTTATGTTAGTTACCTTGAATCAAGTAGCGCTTCAGTAGAGAAGAGCTGGTTTTGTTTTGAGTCAGAAAAGTGCTTCTTTATAGCTGTAACTAAAGTATGTTTAATAGTTTTGACCCTCATCCCCCTGTTACTTTTACTGTGCTCTTTCTGTAGCACAGTGACATCAGGACCTTACGCTTCATGTTTTACGTCTTGTTTGGGCTGGTTGGCTGGTTGAGCTGTGGTTGTATGTCCTCTAAAGCCAGGCATACATTGTGATGTTAGAAAACTCACACTGTATATTTGAATAAACCATTGTGTACGGACAAAGCCTGCGATTCATACTCAGTAGCAATTTCCAATAAAGCTGTTTTATTAAAAACTGAGTACTGAGCAAAAAACACTGAGAAACTGAGATACAACAGCTATGCTAACTAATACCAGTGTGCATTGAAACTAAAACCAGGTGTTGATGTACAGGGTGAAACAAAACTCTCTGCACCCTATTGTACAAAGACAGTTTTAATAAATCATCTTATCCACGTTCATACCTCATAATTCTATTCAGACAAACAGAGTAAAGTCGGCATATACATACTTTGGTACCACAAATGTTGACTTTTTTGCCTTCCTTTAGCTAGCCTACGTGTCCACCCGTATTGAGGTAGGATGTCCACCCATGATTGTGTCTTTTTATAAAGAATTATAACAGATTCGTTTGGCTCAGATACATGAAAGTTCTTCTTCACAACAGCTGTATTAAAATTGTTAAACCTTTAGTTAGTGTTTTTTAATTATGTTTGGCCTTAAAAAAAGATTAATCTTCAAAATAAACAATAGATTACTTATTCACTAATATGATTGCTAGTGAAAGTTGGGGGTTGCTTTATTTTACATTTTGCTTTAACATGCAGAATGATTGCTGATGAAGGACATTGTAGGGTGAATGGCAGTAATGTGATGAGAGGAGCATTGACAGGACTAATACTTCGTGCCTTGTCAAACACTGACGAGTCCCATCAGCTCTTCTCTCACTCACAGTCGCAGCATTGCACCCCTAGATTGACTGCTCATATAGAGGTTCATTGGTCTAGCAGGCTTTTGTGATCTTCTGACAGTGTCTTTAATAGTCATGAAGCATTAGTTTTGAGCATTGGGCTTTAGTTCTGTGCACTGCACTTTGTTGTTCCTGCTCAAATACTCCTAATTCTTATTCTAATACAGGCCTTTTCTGTTGCACACCCAAGATTATGGAACAGCTCATGCACCAGTAATGAATTTTTATGGGTGTTTCTAATTTCTTACACATTTATCTTTTTTTAACCCAAAGCTCACACTGTGTGGGCTAAGTGAACACATGAAACACACTCACACATTTTCATTCATAACATGCTTGTTAATAGGCCAAACATTCTTAAACAAAGGATTTGTTGCCCATTTAAATAACATATATCACAGAAACGGCTACATCATAAATAAGAAGCAACTGGCTATTTAGCCCAATTAGTTATGCATAATTATATCATGACATTTTGGTACAGGTGAAGCAACAACATTCAAATACAGCACAATGGCTCATATTAGTTACTTCACAAAAATGCAACACACATCAGAATAGAAATTGTAAATTGGCCTGTTGTTGTTCACATTTGGAGTGAAAATACCCTGTAATGGGACATCAGATAGGCTTATCTGAAAACTTGTAGAACACTATTAGAACGACTATTGTCTGTTATTCTATTAATCTAAACTTGATTCTTCTTGTATTGCCATCATTTCAATATGTGCAGCAGTCAGTTTCTTCATTTATGATCCAACAAATCAGAAGAAACCATATCAACCCCTGTGGTTGCTGTTGTGAATTGCATTCTGTCAGTATAACAGTATCATGAACATCATAGAGCACGTTTGTAAGTAAACATTAACTTTTTTCCAGTGTTTTTCTGACCCGGCCTCCTCTACCATTCAGCCATGCTGCCTAGCTCCATGCAGCTACAACCAAGCTATCATGTTTACAGAAACAGAGCGCTGCACTGTGTGATGCCCTTCAGAGACACTCATACAGTAAAGCAGGAGTGCTTCCCTTCATTAGTCAGACGAGCTTTGAATCCTCCAATCAGAGATGAGCGCTGATCAGGGCAGCTTGTGATTGAAGCCCTCTGGTTTGAGGGGACGGAGCAGGTCAGATGAGTTCAGGGAGAACGTTTCCTGAGCTGTTGTCCGGCTTTGTTTGGGACTCATTCCTAAAGGGCTGGGAGAGAATGGAAAAGAAATCATGCTCTGGGAACACCCTGGTGGATTGTGGGATGTTTGAGGACTTGGAGCTCTCTCATGTTCTCTAAGTTACTTTCTTTCTTTCTTTCTCCCTCATTCTTTTATTTATAGGAAGTAAGGTCCTCCACTGCAGCACTGCAGTTCTCTCAACTGTTAATGAGATGCGAAGAGCTTTGATGTCTTAATTGCTTTATTTCTGTATGAATATGAATTAAGGCTCTTTTATAGTGTGCATAAAACAAATTATTTCTGATTTTTGAGTAAGGGATCAGTACTGGGCAAGTTCGTCAGTGACGTTGAGGCAAATATAAAGCATATATATTGTGTACTTTTTATTTACTGTACTTAATATTAGGATTTTGTGTGATTTTATTAGAAATTATGGAATTTTAGAAATTTATGACTGTAGGCTCATTCAGTTTAATGTCGATTTAAAATAAATGTTCCCATAGAATTCTTTTGTGTTTGTTTAACACCACCTTGGGGTATCGATTACTTTTACTTCTTAGGTGCTGTTAATTATTATTTGTTTGTTTATGTGTGTTTATATAGCTTATAAGTCTCCTCCGTGCTGTGTCACTGTAACCACAGGTCCATGTGTAATGCCCTTGGGGCTGGCGTTTTGCCAGACATGGCATATTGCATACGTGTGATGCCTTATTCATGAGCCGCAGCAGCTGAGCAATGCCTACAAACACTCTGTGGGGGGCGCTCTTACTCAACCGTAAATAATCATCCACAGCTTTGTCCTTTGGTAATCTTGCAGTGACATCCAGAATCAATAAATGCCTAACCAATCAGGTTTATATTTTCTGCCCTTGTAAAAGATAAAACGATTGATTTTGTGAGACAGATATGTTTCTCATGACTAATGCATGACTAAACCTGCTAATATTTTATGAGCTTTTTTCATAGTTTTCATTTTTCATCTCTTTCTAGTGGGTTTTTAAAAATGTTATGATAATAATATAAAGAGCCTACACTTGCGAGGGAAGAAATAAAAGGGACGTAGATAGTAAGGGAAAAGCCACAACATATCACTGATTTTCAAAACTTCTGCATAATTTGGTCATTGAGATAAAAAGCAATTCAGAGTATTTTTATGTGAAACTGTTCATTAGAGAGAAACTAAAAGACTCAGGTTTCTTTACAGTGATGGTGATAGGAACCAGGGGTCATGATGTCTGCAACACAAATGTTGTCATTTTATTTAGTATCCAAAACCACCAGTTAAATCTACACATCTTCTGAGTTTTATATGTAATGTTTATAAATGTATTATAATAGTAAATCTGATAAATGTACCCTGCATTTACCTCTCTGCCAAGAATGAATTTAAAAATATATGTTTTAAGTCAAAACCATGTCTCAAAACTATTGTAAAATAATATTTCAGGCACAATAAACAAAATATTCAGTCCATATCTAACTATAATGAGTGCTTGACTATTAAGTTGCCTTTCTTTTTTGCTGTTGCAGCTGCAGTGAACTCAGAACTGAAACTATTCTGTTCCTGTTTGAGTTATATTTCACTGTCTAACCACTAATATTTGTCTCATTTTTCACACCTTATCTTTGCAGATCACTCCAGCTCGAGTGGCACGCTGTCCTTCCAGCCGCTTCGCTCGCAGGGCCCCATCCCCACGGCCCATGTCATGCCTTCCCCCTCCGCCTCTAGGGTCAGTGCCCCTTCGACCCCCAGCAGCCCCTGGAGCAGCTGCCAGCTGCCCTTGCCCCTCGACAGCCCACTGGATATGAAGGACCCCCGGCCTGTCCGTCGCTGGTCCTCCCTCACCCGGCTGAGTGGCCAGGATAAAAGCAGCCCGTCCAGCCGATCCTCGTACCGATCCGACCCCCATGGCTCCCTCGACCGGGGTCTGCTATACGGCTACAGACAGCAGGACCCCCTGAGCACGGATGCTCTACTGACACACGGCCTGCACAAGCTGTCCTCCAACAATTCAGAGCTGCCGCGCTACAGGTAGGACTGGGGTGGACAATATTTTCCACTGTCCAGACAGTGAAGACATGATTAAAGATGGGATAATATGAATGTATTCTATCATGATAGTATAGAAATGTATATACATAAAAAATATAAAAATGTTGAAAAAAAACTTCTCTCAACTCAAATTGATATAATTGACTTTTTATTTAACCTATACCACCAATAAATCAACTATAATAAATGAAAGTGTTAATAAATATGAGATGATCAACACTTTGGCCGTTTACTGTTCAGATTATAATAATGTAATAATAGTTTCCTGACACACGAAGTGCAGAAGACTGCAGTGGTAGTCACAAACCTTCCACTGTGACAGTGATTATACTATTTGAAATGATCTTTAAAATCCAGTTTGTTATTATGAACGTTATTTACATCAATATACAATTATAACAAAAATTATATTTAATTAAAAATGCAAATACTCATCCTAATTATAATAATAATTATAATAATGGTAAAATCCATATTGTGAGGCAGTGTCACACCTGTAGTTATGTTTTTGTCCGTATGCCTTGACCTCCTAGGTATGAGCTGGGTAGTGGCACTACCTTCACCAGGACAGACTCATCCTGCTCTTCTCCGCTCAAGCCCAGCACGCTGGACCTGAGCTACAGTGCCTTACCGGAAAGTAAACCCACCACTACGAGCTCCTTACTGCTGCCCAGCCCGAGAGGACCCTCACTGGGCCACCAGTCGGTGGGTGGCTCTCCCATCCAGCCGGCCGTTCGCACTCAGATGTGGCTAAGCGAGCAGATGGAGTACAGGCCCGGGCCTGAGGGCTGCGGCCTCAGTACCTGGCAACAGGAGCAGCAGCAACGTGACAGACTGAGGCAGGAGGCTGAGCTCACTCAGGTATTGGAGAACATTTCATTTACATTTACGTTTAAGTTTTTAGCAGGTGGTCTTATGCTGACCGACTTACAGTGGTAGGTGAATGTAGCGTTAGGGGTCTTGCCCAGGGACAAGAACATGACCTGGACACCTTTTATTTTTGGTGTGCAAAATAGTGTTACTCACTATGAAAATGTGGGGTAGCCCAAGGACACCTTATCCAACACACTTGGTTCAGTGGACCTGGTAATTAGATCAGGGAAGACACGAAAATGTGCGGTGAATGGAGTCCTTAGGAGTGGGATTAAGAATCAGTGATGGAGGCCCACTCTGAATCTAGTATATTTCACAAATATGGGTTTAGTTCATGGAGGGTGCAATCAGTGTATTTGGCTTCGCTGGCTTTAGAACATAAGAGGTTTTTGGGGAGGGTAAAGTGAAGTGTAAATGTACTAATTAAAAGCATGGTCATGTTGCCCCCTAGTGGACAGATTGTAACACGGCAGCATCGGCCCTTCTTGTTCTTGCAGAAGAGAGTGCGTATAAAAAATAAAGTTATTGGTTATTTTCAGACATTTCTTCTTGGAGCTGTATAGACCACTTTAAAACAGGGATGGGCACACAATGTGTTTCCTCTACTGAAAGACTTGATCATTTACAGGCCAGATAATCAGTTGAAGACTTTGCAGTATTTAGTGGACCTTCAGGAGGTCCAGTTGGGAGCTATTGAAACAGTGCATCTGCTGCCCTAATGCTAACTCTAAATGTGCATTTTGAATGGAACCTTTATTACCTCTTGATTTGAGAACCATTTAAAGAACCATTACCATGTCCTATATAATGCATACACATGCATACAGTTTATTGACTAGTTTAGCATAGCAGATCTGATATACATCTTCTATGTCTCCAGATTGTAGAAAGGCTGCAGGAGCACTGAATTTTTCATCCTGTGATTTGTGGAGGTTGCCGTTAGCTATGCTAGGGGCTCTGTCTCTGCTTATTCAAGCACCTCTGAAGAAACATGAGAGAACACTCAGTAGGGGTAATAGTCAGTGGAGTTTATTTTTATTACAATATAACTATACAGTGCATCTTTTTTCACTCATCACTTCAAAAGTGCTGTTTACGAACATCAGCAACAGTTTATTCCACTTAAATAGATCACATGCTTACACTTACTGTTATACTGTTTTATCCCCCATGTGTCTGTGTCCTTGTTGACTTCAAATCACCACACTGTTATTTGAAAATGTAGAACTTTGTGACCGTGCTAAGTATGTTAAAGTTTTTTGATTACAGTTACATCATATAGAAAGATATATACAAATCAAACACTCTTAGTTAAAAGAAGTTGTGAAGGATTTATAGAAACAAAGTGCTGCAGGTTGTTAGCATCTCTTCCATACCTTCAGGTGGTGTTATTTTGCTAGAAATGGAATAGCCATGTTTGCTGGGTCTGATGTTGACAGCATGATCTCTCTTCTCCTCTTTGCAGCTTACTGCATACTCATTTTGTGGACTCAACCAGTGTAGTGTACAGAAAGAGGTCACCTACTTTTGAAGCCCTAATTCTCTTAACTGGCAATGGATGCGTGTATATATTATAGCTTTAATCTTCCTCTGGGGGGGACAGCAAATCTGGCTATTAAAGAAAAATCCTCATTTTAGAGACTTATCCTGCCTCTTTTATTAGATGTATTAGATCATACTGCTCAATGCAGTGTGAAAGATTATCCACTAGGTGGAGCAGACAAATGCATTTTAGTGACATTTTTCTTTCTCAGGGCTGATTTTTAAAGATTCTGACAATAGCAGCTTGAGTCTTGTTATGGTGTTTATAAAGACAAATGATAGAGAATAGAGATAGATCATTTATGTATTACTTTTATGAGATGGCAAGGCCAGTTTTATTAAAATGAGTGACCTTCCACAGCCATTTAATGAGGGTTTCGGTCTTATGGCAATGCATTTAAATCTGATTAAAAAAGTGGGACAGACACTTAACCACAGAGGGAGAGAGAGTGAGCAAGGGTCCCCATGACTCTCGGTATGAGCCTCAGGCCATATTAAGCCTTAAACGCTTGATGGGCAGGTCAGGTCACATCAGCTTGACCAGAATAAGCATCAGCAGCAGCACCACTACGATGAGCAGGAAGTTGAGCAGCAGGTTGAGTCCGCGGTTGTTGGCTAGATCCATGGTGTGAAAGCGAGGCTGTGCTGGAGCTGTCCTGTCCCACGGTGGAGTGCTTGAGCTCGGCGTGAAGCACTGGCTGGCCTGGGTTTCAGAGGCTAGGGTGGTGGTCAGTGAGCAGAGAGGAGGGCCAGTTTACACCATACTGTTGATCCTTCACATGACGTGGAAGGAGCTAAACGTGATTAACAAAGGACAGATAAGAGCAGAATGTTGCTGTGTTTTTTAACAAGAAACAGCTTATTTTAGGAGTCCTACTTACAACTGACCAATTAGAACTTTGATAATTAGTTTAAAATAACATACACTTACTTCAAACCACAAACTTGTAATCTACAAAAATAGTCTTAAGGCAGGGGTCGGCAACATGCAGCTCTTTTACTGCCCTGTTGTGGCTCCACAGCAGAATTAGATTTGTAGATAAAAATAAAATAATCCTCCTTTTGAGTAAAATAAAGCTCTGTTAATCAATCTAACACAGTTCTAACAATAAATGGTCTTAAACGCTACAGATAATGTAGCCTATAACTGCTAATTCACCAACCTTTAACACTGAAGATTGGTGCACAGGCTGCTGGTCACCATAGCAACGACAACAATCTCGTCTAGCTAGTAACTAAGGAAAAGGCAAAGCGAGAGAATTAAGACGAACTTTGATAATTTAGAAACGAATTGACAGACATATTTGCATTTATAAGGATTCCTGATACGTTTAATCTGCAACGAGGAAGTGTCAAACATTAAAAAGTCGCAAAGCTAAAGTCAACTTCTAGCTCGCCAGCTTCTTGTTTGAATTTTGAAATTATCGAAGTTACATTCTGGCGCCTCATGCACCATTTAAGGTGGAACAGGCAAATTCAAACAAGAAGCTGGTGAGCGAGAAGCTGACTTTAGCCTTGTAAAAAGTCAAACGTTGAGAGACATTTTAAAAGAAACCGTTCTACTTTTAAGGAAACGTTTCCTGCCGGAGATACGAGAAAAGCAGCTATTGCTGAGTTAAAGCTTAAAGCAGAGCAAAGTAAGTCTGCGTTTATATTAGATTTTTCACCTATACTAGCACATGAGTGCATACTGAGACATATTTACAGCCAAGATGGTAAAATAGTCATAAAATGTTGTGTTTTTTTTTTGTTTTTTTTTTCTTAATTTTTATTGTCTTTTGCTATGCTATGTACCTTCATTCATTTATATAGACAGCAAATCTAGTTTAGATTACAAAACAACTTGACAGTGCAACCAGTGGCCATAAACTTCCATTACTTGTTAGCTACACTAGCCTTGTAGCACCAGTTTAAAACTAAAGAAGCAAACTTGTTATAGCTAATCAACAACATTTGGGGTAAGGGGGAGAAGGTATATTTTTTGCCGTACTGTTCCTTTACACATGCTTAGAAGTTAGGTGAGGAGCTGTCAAACACTGTTTAAGAGTTGGTTTTGATTGTTCTGTTTCTCTCATTAAAGTGAATTAGCCTAGTTAGCATTGTGTGGGATGGCTTGTTGAATGAACAGAAAAATTTCTACACACACACACATTCAAATCACTTAGTGTTTATTGTAGTCTTAGTATATTTCAGCGTGTCACAGTGCTTTGGGTCAGGGATGGCTAGCATAGTGCTCAGTGCCTTTAAGTCCATTTGTGAAAAGTAGCATGCAGTGGGGAGGTGGGGAGTTGGGAGTGGTGAGTGGGGTGGAGGACAGGAGTGACCACAGCCTCTCAGCAGCTGCCTGTAGTGATGACAGTCCCCTCATCCCCTGCAGCCCCGTCAAAATTCTTCTTCTCACTCTACTGGCTGTCCTCAGTTCAACACTGCCACTCCACTTCAGTTAATCCTTAGCAGTCTAGAGTTATTACTGTTGTTTTGCTTTTGGTATAGTATTTTAATTTAAATTATATATTTGCATAATTAACTACATGATTATGTGATTACTTTTTTTTAGCATTTGTGATACCTATGACTTCTAAGGGTTAAGGCTGATTGTCAGTGTGCTAATGTTACTATATGGGTGATTTATTTACAGGTTTGGTGGGTGAAATACATGCAGTATGATTAACTCACATACTCTTAAATCCCCTTATAAAACTCTTTTATGACCACCCCACACCACTAGAGACCACGCCCTCTAATCGACAGAGTCCATGGCCCCCATTGACCAGCAGGCCACCCCCTCCTCCTCCAGCTCACATTAACAAGACGATGATGTAGATGAGCAGCAGGCAGATGAGGATGAGGCAGAAGTTGACGAAGAGCTCCTGCATGTTCTGCTTGGCCTGCTGGGGCACCTCCATGGTGGACGCCCTCCGGATGGCCGCGCGCGTGATGTGCTGCACCTTCTCCATGGTGGAGGGCAGAGAGCAGCGCAGCAGCACACTCTAGTGGTGATGGAGGTGTAGTGCACAGAGAGAGAGATGGAAAGAGAGGTGTGGAGTAGAGAGCAGCACCTCAGAAAGTAGTGTGGAGGGATGCAGGGAGTGGATGGAGGATGCGGTGGAGGTGCTCGTGGTTGTCGTGGTGACAGAGGTGGTCCAGGGGCCAGTGGACTCCACAGAACTGAGGGAGGGATCAGCAGAGAAGCTGAATGAGTAGGCATGCACACAGTACGGGATCAGTCAGGCAGAGGTGTAGATGACTTCTGACCTTACATTGTGATTCTTTAGGAGATGATTTGCTGCAGTATGAAATCTCAGTAGCAGTTTATTTAAAGTAACACATTTGGTTCTAAAAGGTTTATTTACTGTTCATTAAGGTTTATTATGACCTGTTTTAGTTGATAAGTACAGGTTCATTATGCCAAAATCACTTATATTAGTTGTAGGAATGCCCAATAAACACTTTGTTAAGGCCCTGTTTTGCAAATTACTAAGTCTGAATTATCATCTAAATTCACATCTTAGTTTATAATTGGCATTATTTCATTCCTGTACTGTCTAGATAGTATCATGTAAATATTTTGCTTCAGTTTTTTGCCTCCTCACTAATTAGAGGCTAACAAGCACTAAACAGTTTTTCATTTCAAGTAGACTTGCATCTTATATTTTAAAATAAAGATAATTTTTTGGCTTTTTGGTAGACAAAAATATGCAAGCTGGAAATATTCAAAGTTTCAACCCATTCTAACAATTTAATGTGAAATATCTGATGAATTTGTGATGCAGACTAATTTATCAAAAACTTATTTATTGTTTTTAGCCTTGAATAAGCCCTAAAGTAATAAACACCAGACAATACTTGACACAACCTATAAACAATAAGAATAAAGTGTTGCCAGTTATAAACTAAAATGATGTGAATAATTACTAATGCTGTGATAATTCATGCTTGAAAAGGTCCTAACAAACTGTTTGTTATTATTATTACAAGTAATTACGCAAATTCTTAGTGATTTTCACATAAGTTCACAAGTGCAGGTCATAATGAATAAAGCTTAATGCACTGTAAATAAAATTTATTTACCATTTACAAGTTTTTAAATTAAAAAAGAACAAAACCATAATAAAGTCACAAAATGTTTTCCTTAAAATGGAGTGATATTGAAATCTCATATTTTATATTACAGCGATTAGGTTATTTTGGCATAATTCAAAATTATGAAAAAATAATAAAATCACACAAATGTGACTGGAGCAACTATTTAAAAATACACCAAGAGTTTTCACATTAAAAAAAATATATATATTTTTGGGCAAAAATTATTTTACTGGTTGTTATTATAATTAACTGTAATGAAGACAAACACTCTAAAATCTATGCAGCTGAATTTCAAATTTAAGGGGCAGGCTTCACACCATGGTTTTGAGTTCTGTGTCTGGTTGGTTGCACATCTACTTGTTTAGTCAGCTGTGCTATCTACCTGTCGTTTTGATATATATTGGCAGAAAGCTGTTTCACTTCCATTTGAAAGTGATCAGATATTAACTAGTGTGGCGCTGCTAGTAAAAACAAGCTCAACAAAAAAAGCTACTTTTTATATTTTGCTAATTTTAAGCTGTGAAATCATACAATTCAGTGACTGCAACTGTCACTAAGGGCTCAGGTTTTGATGTGACTGGTCAGCACAGCAAAAAGGCTACTTGACAGCTTTGACTCTCTTTTCAGTTGAGGCACCTGCAGCGTTCCGCTTAAAAGACAGCCACATAGAGCATAAAACATGAAGCACCCAGCAAGCAAAAATGGCAAACAATATGTGTCTCTCTAAATGAAAACAATAGAGACAGCTGAAGGTGCATCAATCCTTAAAACCTGTGTACAAGATGCATGCAGTTTTACTCCCCTACAATCAGGCCAGTTGTATGTGAATGCATAATACAGGAAACTTTCAGCAAGCAGTTTATAGTTTGGCTCCGAAACAGTATTTTGGCTTGTTGACATTGTTGGACTTTCTGAAAGTTTACTTTCAGAATCGACCTTTTAACCTCATCAGAGTTTGTTGCCTGTAGGATATTTTGGGGGGTCCTTTGGGGACCTGCATTCAGGATCCTGCATTCTCATGTGATTGGACATTCCACGCTCTGAGTTTTCCTCTTTGGTTTTGATAAGTAATGCTAGGGACAGATAGTTTATAGATTAATCAAATTGATAGAAAGGACCCAAATCCACTTTTCTCCCATGACTCAGTCACTTTGTGAAAGTCCTGTTTCTGTTTGATAGGCTCTGTGACCGTATCCAGAAACTCAGTTATAAAAAAAAAAGGACATAATGACAAAATGTGTTTTTAGTCACAGGAATGTGCAGTGGACTGTTCTAGAGGCTGTAGTGTTTATTTTTGTGTGTGTTCTTATACTTGATGATATTAATAAATCAGTCCCTGATTTAGGCATGGTGAGTCATGTGTCAGGAACTGTGTCATTTGTATACTGCAGAGTGCCATAAATCCTTGCTGCCGTGAATGCCTTTAACATGGGGCTGCACAATATATTGTTCCTTAATGGTTATCGCAATGTCGGCCTTCAGAATACTGAAATTACTGAAGGATGCAATGGGCAAATGAGCCTCCAGCTGGTCACTGAAGGTTGTAATGTGTGATGATCGTACTGACCAGACATAAATTGTTACATTACATCACAATGTGCTTTTCTGAACTTACTGTGATATTGTCAGTATTTCTAGAGTACTGACCAACTGCGTACTTCATTACAAAGAGAACCTAGTTATTGAATGGGCATAATTGAATTAAGTGTGGTACAATATGTAAATTGTTGAAAGAAAGTCATAAAAACTAAATACTGTGTATTAAAAATACCCTTGTGTGATATTGTGATATAATACCTTTGCCATATTGCTATATTCGCCATGTTCTTTGGGTGTTTGGATGAATTAAGAAATTTTCAAAATAACAGACAACAATTTTGGTCAAAAATGGTGCAGGTCAGTCCTTAATTACATCACAAATGTGTGATTTCAATAAATTGAAAGGCACATTGCAAAACTGACCACAAGTTGATCACAGTGCAATATAATCACAATATATTTTGTCCATATTGTGCAGACCTAACCATAATATTGAATTGAATTGAATAATATTGCCTTATTTCTTCGTTTAAACACACCTTTCCCATGGTATTATAATCTGGGGAATAATGTATCTCCACAGAAGAATAATTCCTTTTGGGGAATATTTTATCTGGGTGAACAATTTGACCCCCCCCCCAATTTTGTTGTTCCCCGCTGTACAGCGGAGAGATTTTGATTTCACCTTCTTCTCAGGATTAGGCAGAGCTACGGAAACGGAGGACAACCCCAAGCTTTATGTTGGGGCGTCTCACGCAGCTGGAAAGACTGAAGCGCTGCTTATGGGAAGATTAGATGCAGTTATTATGCGTTTTGCAGAAGAGATAAGACGCACTTAATTATAACCCCGTAATGTTCTAGAGAGCTGGAAGCTCTCTCTCCCCTTTCTGGATGGAGAGAAGCTTATCTTCCTCTCTCAGACTGCTGTTCTTCAGCCGTCTCCACAGCACAGTCAAGCCCCATGGGGAATGTTCCCAGAATCCTCAGCGCTGCTGCAAGTGCAGGAGCAAACTGTGCATCCTCAAAAGCCCCTGCATGACATTATCTGCCATGCCCGCGGTACAAACTAAAGGTTATTCTTAGGACTGACCTTTGCCTATCACCACAGAGTGTCATTTCTAATTGAAACTGTGGCCTACACTCACTGAGCACTGAGTGATTTTTCTCCATCAAGAGCTCATCACCCTCCTTTACGGCTGCTGAAGGGCGTTTTCCGAACGGCTGCTGCCAGAGACTGGCTACAGCTGTACATCGTCTCCGGGTAGAAAGGACGTGCGATTTTTGTGTTTGCTGGCGTAGGTTAATTGTTTAATTAATTGTAAAGAGCTTGACCTCTCTCTTTGTTTCTCTCTTAAGCGTTTAGCGATTAAGCAGATCTTTTTAAGTCCGCACATAACAAGATTAGCGTGTAGGCTTTCTGCAGTTTGTCTTTTTCAGGATGGTTTAAGAGAGTAAGACATGTGGTTCTGTTGTTTGTTTTCATTGCCAGACTCTTCTTTTGAAATAATGAGTGGTTCCTGTAAGCTGTGTTGTTTAAAGTGTAGGGGTGTAAGTCTGTGACCTAATGATTCAGTTTTGAGTTTTGTAACAATTCTTTCATAAATTCATGATGAAAACTGAGATTTCACCATGATTTGATTGTTTTTAGTACCATTTACAATTATGTTTTTAAAAATGCAATAAATATACAAATATGACTGGAGAAACTGTTCACTAGTGAGTTTTGCGGTTTATGGTCAGTTCCAATTTCTTAGCAGCCAGTTTTTTTTGCCTGATAGGCTTTTTTAAAATCTAAAGCACACACTGTGTGGGTTACTTGAACACATGAAACACACTAGCTCGTTTCCAGTGCTTTCTGTTAAGCAGTATTAGCCAATATAGATAATATAATTTTTCAATTGAGCCAAACCGATATTTTAAATTCTTAAACAAAAATGAGTTTCCTGTTGAATTAACAGAAATCAATAACACACTACATCAAGTCAGAGACAGCTGGCTCTTTAGCACTATGAGTCATGCATAATTATGCTGTGACATTTTGGTATAGATGGAGCAACAGCTTTCAGCATGAGCCTCACTTTATTTACCTCATAAAACTGCAGCGCAGATCGGCTAGACTAAAAATAACACATCGGCTGATTAACGGTCGTGTATTTCGAGCAAAAGTCTGTCGATTCCAGTCCTCACTGATTCTAGGTGTACATCACAACTTTTTGCACCGGGGTGGGGGTCAAGCTCAGGACCATAGTCATGCAGATGGGCCTGTCACAGTTACTACATAATTGCCTGATTGCACTTATTTGAGCTAATCGCCATTATTTAAGCCGATGGCAATTATTTCCACAGTTGTTTTTCTTCACATTATTGCAGTGAGTATTTGTTTATTTCAGCTTGAGCTGTTTCTGTTTCTCATCAGTTGAGAACTGACAGCTGGAAAGCAAGATAGCTAATTAGACAGTCTGGCCACTTTAGGTTCTTACTTTAATAGTTGCATACAATGAACAATAAAACACATTTAACGTCCTAGCAGAGGTGCTGTAGAATGCTTGGTTTGTACTGGTGCTGAATAGAATGTGTGCTGGTGTTTGTGGTGGTGATGGCCTCGTCAGCATCACCCTGCAGGAGCAAGCCTCTTTGGCCTGGTGAGTGACACTGTGCTGTGATCTGGTACTGCCCCCACCGGGCACCTGGCTTCACACAACTTTAGCCCTGGAGGTGTTTGTCAACACGGCCCATAAGCATTCCATTGGCCAAAGTAGGCAGGCGTGAGAGTGACGGGGAATGATAAGTTTCCTCAGAGACTGTGAACTCTGCTGATACACTCTGCACTTGATGGGGGGGAAACCTGCCCTTACATGGTTGCTTAAAGCACATGTCCAAGTATGCTGCTAATATAACCCCATTTATTTTGAAAGCTTTGTAGAGCATCGTTTATCTAAATGCAGCAGCGCTTCATCATCAGAAGATGGACCGGGAGCCAAAAAAAGATGAACGAAAAAAGAAAAAAAAACAGAATCCGAACCGAAGAAGGAAATCCTCAGAAAAGCTGGCGGGAGATTTCCCAAGCCTGCGTGTGTTTATATGCGATTTTTTCCGCCTTGCTGGCAACATTCCTGCACAAATAAAGTCCTCTTGAGGCAGAGGGAGCCGTGCAGTTGGCCTGGCCTGCACACTCAACTTTCCATGATGGCATGGCAGAGCAATGCGCTGGGAGCTGTGGGGGGCGCACTATGGCTTTGGGACCCTCAGAGGACATCAGGGCCCAATCAGAGGTTAGAATGGCTAACAGATCAGCGCAGGCCGTGGACCTGGACATTATGAATGCATGCCCTTCACATAACACACTCACAGATCTTTTCGTCTTGTTTTTAAATTAGTGCATTCATCAATATTGAGGTTGTGTCAATTCGAGCACTTACATTGTGATGCATCAGTCCGAATTTGCATCAATTTTGAAATGTTTCTATCAACTGCGATTAAAAGTAATAATTCTCAGCAAAGTATGCTCGTTTTCTGGCCAAAATAGAATTCTTGGGCTATTTTTAAATGTAAAATTTACACAAAAAATCCCAAATAAAAAGCATATTGTTTTCATAGTGTGCTCCATCATCACTTATCCAGTATGTATATTCAGTGTGTTAGTTTATGAATCATTCCAAGATAATCTTATCAAATCATGATTAAATATGAAATTTTGTGATGTAGTTTCATGACTAATTTCTTAAATAATCATAAATCAAATCATTGTACGGTCAGAGATTTACACCCCTTTTTCTAAGCAGCAATGCTATATAAAGGCTTACTGAGATACTGGAAAATAGTACGTTTTATTCTCGCCAGTTGTCTCCTGTAGTTTGCCATTAACACTTCTCTTATACCTAACCTTTTGTGTGTGCCTGTGTCTGTCAGTGTGTGTGTGGCCAGCTCATTTGTGTTGATACAAGTGAAAAATGTCCAGGTCTCTTGAAGGCAAACATAGAGTGCCCTTTAGGTCACCATTGCTCTTAGCTTGGTCTCTCTGGGTTTTGTTTGTGTGAGTGAGTGAAGAGGAATGTGTCTGGCTGCCCTGTTAGGACTCAAAGACAGTTACATATCCAAACATCTGTATTTAAGAGCTGTTACAGTTATGTAATATCATATAGCAAATACTCAGTTACTGCTTTTGATGCAACAGGGTATTTATATGTAATATGACAGGAAATGTGTATGTGATAAACATGCCTATTTTTGTTTTTAGAGGTCAAGGTCAAAGATCAGCTTGTCTTTCAGTTTGCTGTTTAGTCAATTTTAAGATATGCTTTGGATATAACCTAAAGCAGAATGTTAAATACATATTATACATGTTAAATTCACAAACAAACAAGAAACTCACAAACGAGCAAACAAGAAAAGCAAATAATCCATCTCTGTTTGATTACTTTCAGGTACACCAACCGTACCTGTAAAAGCAGAAGTTTCTAGAAGTGAGTTTGGCAGATTCATGGAGGAGTCGTGACTAGTGCTGAAGGGCAGCTTTCTTACCTGAATCTGTGGATGGATGGCCACAGCAATAAGGTCCAGCCTATGGCTTAGGTTTATGTCCTTGTTCTGGTTCAGATCCTGGTCCAGTAGGGCGAGGCTGGGCTCTGGAAGCTTTGTGGAGTATGTCCGAGAGTTTATGAGCGAAAAAAAAGAGGGGTGGAGAATGGGAGGGGATGACACGAAAACAGATGCGGAGGAGGGGTTTGATCCCTCTTTGTCATTTTAATTTTGTAAGGGTGAGAGTGAATTCACCTACTTAGTGTTTTGTTACTAGAATGAGATCTTGATTGCTTTATGCATTGCCACTGCAGTCCGTGCGCCAGTGGGGTCTGTGCATGTTCAGCCTTTTCACATGAATATAGCTTTGCAATTAGTTGAACATGAGTCAGCTGAAACACTGAACCTAATTCGTCTCACTCTTCAAAAATAAGCAACACCTGTTGCTGAAAGGTTTGTTATCATCTTGATATTCAGGTTTGTCAGTTGAGCTCAGTGATTTTGCCGTTTGTATAGTTGTGTTTTGTATGTTTGCGCTTCACTTTGCTCTGTAACTGCACCCAGCGGTTTCTCGTTGTCTGCACCCCCTTTGGAGGATTAATGTAGTTATTCTCTTGATGTTAATGCCAGACAAGTGTGTCTGTTCTGGATGACCTGCTTCATTGACCTTCTCCAGCGACCTTTTCCTAATCTTGACCTTCAGCGAACCACCTCAAGAAGCATGCACCTTCCCAAGGGTGCTGCTGGGAAGCTTTCTGCAGAGTTTTGTAGCGTTTTTCAGAGGCTCTGGAGATAAAAACAGCTCAGAGTTTCCCCTTCCTTATAAGGCGCTTGGCAGGCTCAAGCGGAGCGAGTTCCAAGAGTGCATTTTTAAACGGGCCGGTGTGGAGAGGAAGGGCGATCAGGACACTGCTGTGGCATGCGCTTGCTGTTTTTCCCCTGGCCAGCACAGTACTGTTCTTGGCATGGTTTGGACCACCAGCCTAAATGCCTCCTTGTTGAATCCCAGGTACTGATTCGAGAACAGAGAATCACACATGCACCGGATGCCGGGGTCAGCGTGCGGCTGCGTAAGAGAGCTGTAATGAATGGGAAGGTGGAAGTAAAATGCGTGTGCGTCATCTGAGCTGGATGTTCTAAGCTTTTGAGCCATGGCTTTGCCGCCCCCCTTTCAGACCTGTTTCCATGTCCAGGCTCGCGGCCAGTCACCACTGCCCAACCCTGTCTGCGCTGCCCCTCATGTTGGAGCTCTTATTGTTCATTATCATGCTTTGCAACCCAAGTGTTAATTACCCACACTATTATAGCCACAATGGAAAGGGCAGGGGAACTGATGGCGCCATTTAACTACGCCTCAGTAATGGAGCCTATTGCTTATGCACCAGCTCATTAAAATGGAGGCTCTGTGAAAGAATGGCTGTTAAAGGTAGCCTTGCTCACACTTTTCCTTCCTTTGTGAACTGTTTTACTGCGGGTACTGGCAGGTGTTGTTAGTGTGTGCATGCATACATAAGTCCTGGTCTTGCCCTTTGGCTAGTGCTGGAAAGTCTACACATTAGAAGCAGTACATCTATGTCTCGCCACTCTGTTCAGCTCAGTGCATCGAGGCTCCCTGTCCCACACCTGTCAACACGTACCTCTTCGCCAGGTGCCCTTGGGTTATTCCTGGCTTTTTTTGTGTGTGCGTGTGCTCGTGTTCGTTAATGTCGGACTGATTGTGCAGTGCTATTGCTATGAGCAGAAAAACTGTTGTGTTGTTTTAAGTACAGCGAAGATTCTAGGTGTGTATTGAATTGGATTGTCCAAAGACTACATGCTTAACTGTTCAAGCTAGTCTATGGTTGTGAATGAAACCTGACTAAAACAGGAATCACCACCAAATTGGGCATTTCCATTTAAGCTTAATAGTATTTTGAACTCAAACTTATTCTGATTACAACGTACGTTTTGCAATTTACAGTCTACATATTGCTCTTTGTATTCAATATTCAGAACACAATATGTAAAACATTTACTCTACATAATTTTAACACTGAGAATAGCTCTCTAGATCATTTTCTTAACTGTTCAGCTGGTTTGTGGAGTTGCAAGTGAATGGCTAGACTTTTTCTCTCTCCACGTCCAGCGAGTGAAAAGCACATCTCCAGCTAGTGTACCGAAGTAGCATTTGTTTAAAGTTCAGTTCTTTGCTGCTAATTCCGGATTGAGGAACAGATTAGCAAAAAATGTTTGATTTTGATAATTATTGTCATTGTTTAATAGGCCAGACCTGATTTGTATAGATCATCAGATGATGACGGACTTGGTTGTGGGAGGTTACGGAACTCTGGTAAGAACTGATGCAGAGCCATCTCTCACCCAGATTTGCACCTAACAGAGAGTAGGGCCAAGTATGGAGGCTTTGGTAAACAGTGGCAGCAGGGCTGATAAAATTCAGGGAACTGGCAGCAGATTAGCTGTCAGGTCTGGCAGTGGAGCTGCTCCATGCTGTGGCCTACAGACATGAGATCCTGCATTGGAGAACGGATAAACCTATCTTCAGTTTACTCAGAGCTGAATACAGAGCGCAGCTCCATTTAGCCCTGCTTACACCCCACAACCTCGCATTTCACTCGCTGTCATTTAGGTGGAGAGCTGCAAAGTGGACGCTCTTTGGCTTAATATACTGCTTCGTGCCATCTGAAACTTGGGCTGCTTAAGAGTCCTGACATCGTAGCAGTGTTACATTATTGTTTCTTTCAGTGCTGATCTAATCTGTCTTAAATCCACTCTAACTCTTAGTACTGTAGCAGTGTGCAGACATGTTCAACATTTACAGAAAGACCTGCGAAGTAACCCCTAACTCCTTAGTCCAGCATCCTCCAGCTAGCTGTGAGATACAGTAGTAAACTTGACATTTCACAGGATTAAAAACCACCTACGGCGAAGAATGTCTTTAACTATTTTTACTTTCAGTATACATGCACACATTAAATCAGATGATAGATTGTGAACCTACTACTTACATGCTAGTGCAGTGTAAATCAGGAGGCATGGTGAATCAGAAGTCATGACTCATCCAAATGAAAGGCTTGGCATTTTGCATTTTTACTGGATGAGCTTCAGGTCTCCAGCAGCTGTCACTGGTTCTGTTTGTTGGCAGCATGGAGAGAGACAAATAAGCAAAAGCAGTAACGACGCTTGGGAGCGGGGCGAGCCGAGGCTGACTTCCAGACTCATAAAGTGAGTTAGTCAGCAGGATGGTGCCATGGCAGGGTTTGGCACGGTGAGCAATTTAATTCTTGAATCCATTATTTTTGACATACCCAGTAGGAGTGGACGATAAATTGTTTTTAAATCGAAATCGCAATTTGACAGATTGCAAGAATTGCAATTTCAGTTATATTCTACATTATCCACAGTTGTCTGAGCTTGTGAACTGGCTTGCTGGCATGCTAATTTCAGCATTCAAACTTCAAGCCTGAAAAAATGGATGTGCTTGTCTTCTTGGCAAAAAAACGGCCTAGAGCTTAATTTATAGAAAATAACTGCTTTTACGTTGCACATGCACTATCGTAAAAAATCATAAAAAATGCAATTAGATAATTTCCACAGAACAAAATTAACTTTTTTTCTTTCTTACCTACAAAATATTACGACTGGGGCAAGTTGGAGATGAAGTAGGACGTAAGTATAGAAAAGTATAGAAACTTCACTGGCTGGTAACCAGACTTAAAACCTTCTTATGCATGTTTGGCTAGTCTGACTACTGTAATGTCAGCTTTCCTCCGTGTAACTGTCCTGTCGCCTACAAACTAAGAATGAATGCGCAGCAGCAGCTCACTGACTGGACCTATTCTCATACTGCAGAATCAGGAGTCAGAATTAGAGTCGCACTGACAGTATCAGTACTGCTTGAAATCAGGCTGAACTTGATCTGATATTGGAAACATTAGACTGATACCGTTGCTGATATTCTAGTGTGACATTATGATGTCCACACAAGCAAATTGTAAGCTATACAAATTAAGAGTCTCATGTGGAGGTTCATAGCCAGCAGTAATGCTAATAGAGTAACTCACTCAACCCTGGAGCACACATTTACAAGAGGTGAAAAATGTCCATCTAACAGTAGAAAAGCAATGAGAATTTCAGAAAAAAATTCTGGAATTCATAGTGTTTAATGATCAGCCCTTCAACCAAAGATTCTGGGATCTTTTAGAACACGCTGAGCCAAAGTATATAATACTTAGCATGGGCTACTTCAGCCAGTGCTTGTTATCGGTCAGTCCTCAAGAGAGCAGGGTATAATGGTTATGCTACCCTAGTCAGAATCATATTGTTAAGTTATAGGATGCTCCTAAATTGTAAACACTCAGAATTTGCACTGTGCAGCGCAGGGGTGGCTGGGGACAACAGGCATGTGGTGATAGAGCCGCCTGAAGAGGCTGTGAGCTCAGAGATCTGTGCTCAGCTGCTGGGGAATGACAGCAATGCTCTGGCTCCCTCCTCGGCCTGCAGTTAACACAAAGCCCCAGCAGACTGCATGGCGACAACACCCTTTCTTGCATGCATCTCTCTCTGACTTTGATATGTTTGGATAAGCCGACTTGGACCAGATTTACAACCCTAATTCCAAAAAATGGGTCAGTATGTGAAATGCTAATGAAAACAGAAAGCAGTGGTTAGTAAATTTGGAAAACAGAACAAAAACAGAATTTTTTAGGTTTTACCTTATGAATGTCATTGTTTTTTGTTAATATACACTCATTCCAAATTTGATGCCTGCAGCACTTTCCAAACACTTTGGGACAGGAGCATGTTTACCACTGTGCTACATCAACTTTCCTTATACTGCATAATGGTTTGTGGACTCAAGACACAAATTAATCCAGTTTTGAAGCGTAATTTTTTGCCATTCTTCATGTTATACATGTGCCTCCGTACAGGGCCATTGCTGTTGTATTTTGAGGTTGATGAGACTGAACTGCAGGCAGGCCAGTCTAGCACACATACTCTGATTTCACAGCCATGCTGTTGTAACATATGCAGAATGTGGCTTAATTTTGTCTGGAGTAATCAGAATTCAGTTTATTGGAGTAAGAAGAATTTACTGTGTGTGGAATATTCTGAGATCAGTCTGTATGGAGTAATCAGAATTCGCCCTGTACAGAGTAATCTGCATTCAGTCTGTGTGGAGTCATCTGCATTCAGTCTGTGTGGAGTCATCTGCATTCAGTCTGTGTGGAGTCATCTGCATTCAGTCTGTGTGGAGTCATCTAAATTCAGTCTGTACAGAGTCATCTGAATTCAGTCTGTGTGGAGTCATCTGAATTCAGTCTGTACGGAGTCATCTGAATTCAGTCTGTGTGGAGTCATCTGAATTCAGTCTGTGTGGAGTGATTAGAACTCTGTGAGATCAGTTCACACAGATGCACATCACTTCAGCGACTGTCTGATCAGTCTTCACAGCCTGTGACATAAAATAAACCTGTGAAAATTTACCCTTGCCGTCAGTTTTAAATTATGATGGCTGAATTTTTTGACAACCACCAATTTACACTACTTTTAGTGACTCCTCTTGCTGTTGTGATCTCGTGCTTTCAGGCCTTTTTTGCTGTTGTGTTATATTTTGTGTAACTCAGCCTCCTTTTTCATGAGGTCGTCAGGTTTACGATGCTGGGCCAAAGCTATCCGAGGTAGCACAGATCTCCTGAGCCTCGCTCAGCCAGGGCCAGGCCCTCTCAGCTGCTGCCGAATCTTCTAGACCCTTTGTTTATTTCTCTTACTGCTGACCACTGCTTATTGATATATCCCTGCTTTGATGTTTGCATTGTGTGTTTTGTTTGTTAGTTTTTTTAGTGTTTGGTTAATGCAGAGAGTTTGAGGTTCAGAGGTTGAGCCATGTTTACACTACATTATGTGGTAACATAGCTGTGTCCACTGACACAGAGTGACAGAGTGTCTCAAATGCCCTCTTTCTATCTATTATCCTGCTAGTTACCACACGGCGTATAGGCCTCTTCTGACATTTTGTATAATTTTTTTACTTGTATCTCATGAAAGATGTGGAGAAATTCTAAACTGTCAATTGATGGTGCATTTGTTTTTGTAAGTAGAAGAGGAGATATTTTATATTTTACGAGTTTAAGTTGATGGAAGATTATGGCCTTGTTTTTTTGGACATAAATAATTTTGTATCGAGTGTGTAATTAAATTAATTTCTCAGTGCCTATAGTGCCCCTCCTGGAGAAACCTCATACTGGTAGACGAGAGTTCCAAAGCCACGCTCATGTGCTTTACATATTAAAAACCAAAGTGTTTTCTCTCATTATAGCAGTCATTCATTTCACTGCATCACTAGTAATTACATTTAGTCATTTATTATTGATTGAATAGAAAACAGAATGACAACTTCTAAGTTCAGGAAATTAAAGAAGAAAGGTTAGTTGAACAATAAAATGTACACATTTTTCCCCTCATCTTAAATGTAGTTATTCAGCCTAGAAATGTTCATTGTCCAGGATTGGCTTCTTTCGTCTTGTACTGGAGCTTCAGTGCATGTAGGAAGATGTGACGACATATGTGTCCTATGTGAAGTCTCAGTCTGACAGCTCCTCTGCATGCTGCCATTTAGCACCTAGTGCTCAAGAGACTGTGTGAGATTAGTCACTCAGTCACATACAGACCCCCTGTCACCCATCACTCAAACAAATACATGGAGGAATGTGAACTGGAGGTGTATATGAACTTCAGGCACAGCTGAATGGGAACTATACATGAGCTCTCTGCACTGTTTTCCTGTGAAGTCTAATATGTTGTCTGTGAGTGAAGACACTTCTAACATTTTTTTTCTAAACTAACAAGCTTCTCTTTACAAAAATTGCCAAACTTTAGATAATTATGTCACCTGTCAAATGTCAAAACTTCCTAAAAACATATTTTATTTATCTATTTATTATTTATTTATTTTACATTTGATAACAGCAGCTTCCTATTGTGTATTCATTTCACAATGACTGGACTAATAAAAATAGTCAAAAATTGCTTACAATAAAATCTTCTTTCTTTAAAAGTTAAGAACAAAAGTTAAGAACATTCCTTTACCTGTAAAATTACCATTTTAGAGATTCAGGGTTTTCTTCCAACAACAACGATTTGGTGTTTAGCTGTAGGCCCTGAATGGAGAAAGTTTATTTATTGTAGCGTGTTTTCTGTGTTGGGCAGATGCTGGGTGGAACGGCTCTCCCCGTCAACACTCTGGTGAAGATAAAGGAGGGGCTCCTGAGACAGCGGGAACTGGAGATTGACAGGTGAGTAAAAATGACCTACGCAGAATTAAGACTGTCTCTGACCAAGGATTTTCTTAGTCAGTCAAAAAAAATTAGCACATCATGTTTAGGGTTGCAACAACTAATAGACATGATTGATAACGTTGATCATAAAAATTGCCAACAAATCACGTTATCGATTAGTAAAAATGTATTAGGGGTGTAACAGTATGTGTATTTGTCCCTAACCGTCACGGTACGAATGTCATGGTTCAGTGCAAGAGGAGAATACGCAGTATGACTGTAATGATGAACCGAAGTGTGAGTTCCACTTGGAAACCTTAATCAGTCTGTAAGCCGTTAACAAGTTAGCAGCAGTGATCTTCGGAAGAGCTGACCCCGATCAGTTTGAGGTGTTTGAATCGTGAGTGTGAGGTGAGGAAGGCAGTTATTGAGGTAAATAAAAAGAGAGAGGATTCAAGAAAAAAACACAAGCTGAAGTTAAACGAATAAAACAACAGTTATCCCTGTCCACAGCCTGCAATATTTTGCACCTGTGAAGAGATTCAACACAAACCCTTATGAAATTTTCTGTTTTCTCTGCTCCTAACTTTAAAATCACAACTGAAGGTAACATCAGTTAGCTCACACTACAGGCTGTACCAGCTACCTCAGGGGAGACTATGTGACACTGGGTGGAACAAACTATAACTTGCATTACTGTCTGTTCAAAATCAATGTAAAGAAACCCAGCCTCATGCATTTGGGTGTTTTTGTTGCTTTCCCCCCCCCCATCGTACCAGACTTGTACTGAACCGTGATGTCCAAACCGTGATGTGAACCGAACCGTGACTTCTGTGTACTGTTACACCCCTAAAATGTATATTTTAAAATGCTGAATTGCATGATCTTCATGAGCTTTGCAGCTCTTTAGAATGACTTAATTTATTTTAATTGTTTAACTGTTACTATTTTAGATTTTTTATATATGATTTAGTGATCGTTCTACTTTATTTAGGCTATTCATTAATTTATGGGATTTGCCTTCATGTGTGCTTTGTCCCACTGCCACCTACAGTGGGCTGGCTACCCTACTTACATGCACAACAATGAAAATTAGTCCCGTGCCACAAGATATTGTGGTGGGTCCTGCGGGAATCCCATAGGTCTGGGGTTTGAGTGGTTCATTTTGTAACGTGAATGCTTCGACTTATCGCAATACTTTTCAGGTTTCGTGATGACTGGAAAGGACTGTTATGGCTGTTTTTTGACACTAAATTGTTTGTCTCTAAGCAAAAATAATAAAAAGCAGCAAACAAATGAGGCTACTGCCTATCATGCATGCAGAAAAGTGAGATGGAATTACGCAATTCACGATTTAGATGGAAATCTTGTGTGTGAAAGCAAAACAGTGATAATGAGCCCCTTTCCAAAACGTGCCCAGAATCAGTCCTTGGTGCGGACTCAAGTATTTGGGACAAGTGTGAAAACAACCTTAATTGACAAAAAATGCCACAACTGATTAGTCAACTAGTCAGCTTGGAGGGCGCAGCCCTAGGCAGAGTGAACTCTCCTGTATAAATAAGAGCTCTTGAGTCAGGCCTGTTTAGAAGGTTTGAGCCAGCAGGTGAAATGAGCAAAATCAACAGAGACTTCATCAGGGCCTTCCCCCAACCTAGAGTGCTGCATATTAGCTTGGATACTAACAACACAAGGGCATATGCAGGAAGTAGCATGGAATTTAACTGCCTGATTCAACTTTCTGCCTGTTTGGTCTTACTTTACAATCAGTCTTTGAATTTCATGAATGTAATTAACTTAAAAGATCTCTGATTATGGCTGCTTTTCTTGTAGCCTGTTCGCAGTATGTGAGGGTATAAATGACACAGTGTTGACGTGTTGGTGAATGTGGTCAGGAACGTGCCCTCCTGATTGCTATGGTGACCTTGGGCAGCTGTGCTGATTTGCGCATGTTAGCACACGCACAGCAGGCACAGTTCAGGCCGTCCCATAGAGCAGATGGGGGCACTGTTAATCCTGCTACTAGGCAAGCAAAGGGCACACATACATATATACATACTCAGCATTAAAGCAATTGTTTGGCAGAATGTCTAATGTACACGTTTTTTCTTTACCCTGCATTTATAAAAATGGACAAAAGTACGTCACACAGCTAAAATCAGAAGCAGCAGCGATTCTGAAACTTAATTTCTGTCCATTTATCAGAAACTGCATAAGCAGGTCTGTTTTAGACTACCTAAAACTTCATGTGGTTTGAGGCGAGTATGTGATGATTTAGTGGGAAATAAAGTTCCACCACTTGTTAGCTACATTAGCCTAGAGAAGCAAACAGGCCTTGATTGAGCAACTACATTTGAGGGAGAACTGTAAATTAGATATTTCTCTGAACTCTCTCTTTAAGAGACTATCTGGTCATACACGGCAGAGTCTTGACAGACTTTTTCACTGTTTGTTTGTATGATCTGCTGACTTACAGTTCTGATAAAATTATATGTAAATATATTTATTTGTGCACTAAACATTTATTGATTGATGAAATCTGAATTCAGTTGGAAGTGAATGTAATCCATCTTAAAAAGCTGTCTACAGAGCCGTATTGCATTTCCCTGGAACTGGGCTGCAAGCTGGCTGCCACCGAGCTGGTGCTGTTAATGTGCTCAGTCCAACAAAATGTTAAGTGCAGTACTGTGCAAAAATCTTAAGCCATCTAAAAATGAGATGTAAAGCGATAAATCTGAGCAGAAAGCATTTATTCATTAAATGACATCAGGTGCTGCTGATGGGATTTAATAAATCCATGTGAAGGCTGGTGTTCAGTAAAAGGTCGAGAAGCTAAACTGTTTTTCTGTCTTCTAACTAACGTCGAAAGCTTAAAAAAAATCTATATGTATTTACTATATGTATGTTTATTTGCATTTACTAAAATGTTATGTTGCGATTTGACTGGAAAAAGCTTACGTGCTGCTAAAGTAAACACGTTTTTTAAAGACTTCTACACGGTACTGCACATAAAGAATATCTATCTTACTTGTGTATTTGCTCACTTATGCATTTATTAAAATGTTATAGAATGATTTTACTGGGAAAAGCACACATGCTACTGAAGTAAACATGTTTTTCAAGACTTTTACACAAAACTGCACATAAAGAATATCCATCTTACTTGTATATTTGCTGTTTTTACTGAAGTTTCATGGAGTTCCACAAGATGGTGCTGTGAGCACCTATTTTACTGTGTCTTTAGTATTCCAGCTGCAAGCCTCCCTCATTTAATGACATCTTCTCTCATATTTTGCTGAGAGGCAGAAAATGTCTGCCAAAGTGCTACAAGCGTATATCAGGGTGTAATAACAAATATGACAACCTTTTTTCATCCCAGAACATTTCTTCCTGGCAGCTGGTGGTGCTTACTGAAAAAAGAACATTAGAGTGGATGCTGTATGCACAGCTCACTATTACCTAAAGTGTAGTGCTGCTACACTGTGTTCCACACTGCACTTTCAGAAAGCACCATTTACGTCCACTGCACTGGTGGTTCATTTATCTTTGCAGTCATAATTTATGGGGGTCCAATGACCTCTCCCATTATATTCCCACTATGCTTGGCCGTTCACTATAAGACAGTCAAGCTTGTTCATAAGTGAATGTGGGGAGTATGATTTTGGCAGTGTGTTTTCAGCATGTACCTGGCATTTTATAGGCAAAAGCAGCAAATCCTGCAGCTCCACGCCAGAATCAGGGAAAATGAGTTAAGGGCGCAGCAGGTCCTCCAGAACCAGAGGGGGCGCTGTGAAGATTCCTATCTGCTTAAAACCAAGGTATATTTCCTTATTGTTTTATGAATTAAACATGCTACTAATACCGGAATAACGTGTAAACGCTGCTGTCACTTATCTTTTGGCTGGTGTTGCTCCTCAGGAGTGTCCGTTCGATAGCCCTGTGTCCGGCCACAGTCCGCAGCCCCCACTGACCGAGCGGAACACACTGTGCTGTGAGAACAGCGAACTGGGCCGCAAACTGGCCGCCACTGAGCTGGAGGTCATCCATCTCAATGAATTCCTCAAACAGAACACACAGAAATACACTGAAGACATCAAGAAGCTGGAGGAGAAGGTACGCTTCAGTTCTCTATCTATCTGTTCATTTGTTCATTTATTTAGAGAAAATTGATAGCATAAGCAGTTAGGTTAAGGATTCAGTGATCCACTTTTTTCTCTCCTGATACCAGTTCCGATATCTGAACTCAAGGTATCAGTAAATAGCAAGTACCAGTCTGATGCCAGTGCTTTTTTTTTTCTTTATCAACGTAAAGTTTATATACATCCCTGTGTGGAATTGCTTTGAGTCATTATTCTGTATGTAAAGTGATGCAGTAACTGCACATCTTCTTTACTATAAAAGACATTTTTTTTTTCATAAATGAATTGAATGGCAAAGAAGACCACTGGATAGTACACTGTTACTAATAGCACTGTTACTGTTAATGACTATGACAAAAAACAGCACTGAATGTGAATTAGGCACGTCTGCCCGATTGTAATAAGATTAGCATTAGTGCCAATGCCGAATCACTGGATCAGTAATTTAGGTAATAGTTTTAAGCACTCACATGAATCCCCCAGCTTTAACACAGAAATGACAATTTGTCCCACTGGATCATATAGACCCCGTTTACAGCTGGTCACTACATGCATCTTGAATATCAGGACTAAATCATGATGAGGCCAAACCACATAAAAATGCAAGTGTAAACGCACCCAAGATGCACTGAAAACAAATACAAGTCTGATCGCTTGACCAATTCAGGAGGTGGTCTTAGGCGCATTTCAGCCACGTGTTATGCCAGTGTCACTGGATCCATCTGTCCAAGATGCACTCGACAACCAAAAGCCCTCCCAGTACAACCCAAACTCCTCCCCATGCAGTACATCACTGGGTGCATGATCTGTGTCTGTGAGGAAGGTAATCATGGAGGATGCACATGGTTGAGAACTGGACAAAACAAAATGCTTAACAGCAATATGGACAGACACTACTGTGCAAAAAAAAACCGCATACGACTTTGTGATAGAGGAGTTTGGTAAGAATTGGTAAGTGGTTGCTGCGTAATGAGCGGATTTGCATATTCCGTCCCACACAGCGATCAGATTTCAGTCCAACAAACCGGAAGCGCATTTGACTGCCAAGTGTAAATGCATGTTTATAAAATCTTTTCAGGATACAATACAGATAGTAGTTACATGAAGTGACCAGGTGTACATGGTGTCATAGTCTGTTGATATGATACTATTAATAATCTGTTTTGTTTTAAATTCTTAATAAAATTTGAGTAAAAACCTTGGATTGTTTTATAATAATAAACATAACTAAAGTAAAAGTCATGTTATGAAGACGTTATAAAAGTGATGACTAAAATGGATTTCAGTGGAGGCTTTCGTGGATTCGTGGTAGTTTTCCAAATTAAGAGTTCTGTGTTTGTTTTTGTTTCTGTACATTTCCAAGACAACAGTGACTCACTTTGACAGCAGGGCTCATCTACAGGACCAACAAAATGGTCCAGACTTTGTAAAGTTCTTTTTACAAACGCATATTTGATTTTTTAAAACTGAGCCATTTCTTTTTTGATTACTTAGGTTAAGGTTAGGTTTAGACTTGGAAAATTATTATTATTATTATTATGTTATTTATGAAGGTATTTACATACACATGTAGGACATATGTAGGACCCCACATCTGCAAAGTGTCAAAACAATTGCAAATTACATGTTTTGCTGATTTTCTAAATGAAAATAGATTAACACATCCTCTACAGAGAACATACCTCTGAACATATTAATGCACAATTACTGTTTATATGTATATATAATGTGCCACACTTCCTGCCTATGCATTATATAATTAAAGTTTTATTTTTTCCTCTATGTTAAATGCTAGTAAATATAAATTGTGCACTAAAAATATCATATTGAAGTGTGTTCTCTGTAAAGGATGTGTACATATTTTCACTTCAAAATCAACAAAGCATTTAATTGTACCAGAGGTGTTCAAACATTTACGACTGTATGTGTTTCACTAAGATGAAGACTCGTGACCGCTACATCAGCAGTCTGAAGAAGAAATGCCAGAGAGAGCAGGAGCAGAATCAGGAGAAGCAGCAGCGCATTGAGACTCTGGAGAAATACCTAGCTGACCTGCCCTCGCTGGACGAGGTGCAGACACAGGCCCAGCAGGTATACTGCCCCCAATCTTCTTCTCCAGGTTCCAGCCGCCTTCACTCCAATGAAGCAGAATAAAGCAACGTCCACTACTGTGTGCACTCTGACATTTCAGTCTCCAGTTCATACACAAACTTCATTTTGTGTTCAGTTTGTGCAGTAGCTGGTTTGTGTATGGCAGGATTTACCCAGAGCTTCAGACCCATCTTTATTTGTGTCCTCGTCTGGGCCAGGGTTTGTAATATTTTTCAGCCCAAATCCTCTGTGATTTGTCCCTGAATCCAATCTGCCATGAGTTCAGTTGATTAGAGAGCAATGAACACATTTCAGCATTAAACCAATACAGGAGCACCTGCTCCCAGGGGCTGTGCTAATGCATCAATAAATAGCAATTAATGGACAGTGTGCTCTCTTGATTGTTTAAGGAGAAGCTCACTCACACTTGATTTAATCCAAATTACAGAGCAGGAATGGGAGAATTAATATTAGCTTTTCGAAACAAATGTTTGGTGACAACGTAACATTACCTGCATAGCAATTAGCATCGTGTTGTGCTTTGTTGGTCTGAGGTTGGAGCAATTGAATAAGCTGAGCTAATTAGCTTAACAGCAAGTTCAGAGTCGTGTTGTATAGTAAACATCAAAATCCAGCCAGCAGATGTCAGCAAAAACCAATTAAGTAAAATCTGCCTTCTCATTGCATCCTGGAGGCAGACCAGACTTTTAATCTGATATATTTTTCTATACAAAAGCTTTGTTTTGGTGGTAACCCCATTTTGAAAAATCACCAACCCCTACACGGCACGCTGAAACACTGGTCTTTGCTTGGTTATTTTGCATGTCCGTCTAATTGCCTTTCTTGTCAAAGTAGGCAGTCCTTGGCCACATTGAACAACAAAATGCACGACTCTGACAGTAGGCAGAAGTCTGGCTTGCACGTTTACAGGACTGTTAATATAGGCTAATGTGACAAGATTGCATAAGGCAGCTGCAGTGTATTTTGTATGATGTAAGAAGAAAAATAGCAAAATGGAGGTACATGCTTTTGATATGATAATGACAATACCAGTTTTTGCTAATTACAGTATATCTGCATGTTAATGTTGACACTAGAGATTTATCATTGACATTCATCATTGACTTTTATCTTTGTGTATATATATGTGCACATTTTCACTTTCGCACATTATTATGTGTGTATCAGTTGGAGGAGGTGCAGGGTAAAGCACGGGCACTGCAGGAGACAGTGGTCCAGCTGGAGAAGAGCTTAGAGGAAAGTCGATCTGTGCTGCAGGAGAAAGACGCCCTCATAGAGACCCAGTCCAAAAGAGAGAAGGAACTGGTGGCTGCTGTGCAAAGGTAGCTCTCTCTAATCACAGTGTGGGATGGACAGTATGATGATATTTATCATTATAGTGAGAAATTATCTCACAATATGCCACAGTATGCTTCTCTGAACATGTGGATATCATCAGTACTTATAAAGCACTGACAAACTGTATGTTTCATTACAAGGAGAGCACAGTTAGTCTTGTTTAATTGGATTTAAGGCAGAACAGCACATGAAACGCTGAATAAAAATCACTGCATTCAACAATAGACACGGAAACATTTGCCACATACAGATGTGTAAATTGCCACATTGATAACACAGAGGAGCTTTATGAGCAGCAGCTGGGTTACAGCTTCTGATCTAGAATGCACTTCGGTTAGCTGAGCTCTCGTAGAAAGACAGAATGCCTGGTTATGGCAGTAACATGGTTGGCATGCTACCACTGATGCTGTTCTTGAACTGAATTGTAAAGGATCAGTGCAATTTTTTGTGCACTGCTCTTTCGCTGGTACATGTTGTCCTTTCCAACTTGTTCACAAATCTCAAAAAACTAAATTTCATAATATATATCGCATATTGTGAAACTGTCTTCAATGCCTAACCATAGCTTGTACGTCCGCACTCTGCAGCCTGAACTTTTCACAGGTCATGTAATGTGCATGAAGAGAAACAAGAAGCAAAAATCACAGCCTAAAACTCCTCTATCACAGCACTCGCATAACCCATAATAAGACTGGAGCAACAGCCTGCAATTGCACGTTTGAAAAATGATGGTGGACGTCATTTGCTCTTTACTTGTTGAATTGTTTTATGGAGCTATTTGTAGACAATGTAATGCTGGCAGTAATAACCTCTTAAGGGAAAAGGCAGAATGTTTTGTATAATCCTTCCATGTAATGTGCATCTCTAGCAAGATCTGTTCGAGTCACTTGTTAGTTATATTAATAATCTCTGTCTGTCTGTCTCTCTAATGCCCCTTTAGTTTGCAGGAGAAGGTAGAGAAGTGTCTGGAGGACGGAGTGCGGTTGCCCATGCTGGACTTGAAGCAACTTGAGAGGGAGAACACACGTCTGCTAGAACAGCAGAGTCAGAGTAGCATGGTACACACCAACCCTTCCACTTGTCCACAATGGCTTTCAGTGCAGATAGCTCTGATCTTAAAGGTGCATTATACGATTCTGGAGAACGATTGTTGATTTTTGAACTCAACAGCAAAACAAACACACCTCTCCTTTCAGTGCTTCTACAGAAGCTCTGCCCCCCAAATTCATGGACATGAGGCAAACAGCGCTTTTTTGGATCTTTGTGGCCATAAATCCCTTCACAAACTTTGTACAGATAAATACAATGATGTAACATTAGAGTGAACAACCACACAACAAGTAATGTAACAAACATTAACTAGACTGTCGATTAGCAAACTGTTGCAACAATTGCTGCTGTGAAGCTAATCAGTTGCTATCACAAACATTAGCAAATGGGACAAAACAAAACAGACCTATTGTTTCGGTCAAACAGCGAAAATAAGTTAATGTAACCAGAAACACAGCAACCTTCTTATCAGTTTTCATGCATTTTACCTCTCAATAAAGCTGAAGTCAGCTCCTTTTTCGAGTTTTCCCGTTCCACCTTAAGTGGTGCACACACAATGCTGTGTGTGGGGTTACTGTCTGGGGAGGGCCGACGTTTTCAGGTGGGGCTAACATGCAGCCGGAGCAGATATTAAAACAAAAAAAAGAGAAGCTCAGATTAAAAGACACACAGAGGGGGTGTGACTTCATTCACTTCTCATCATGCATGATTCCACTATGTCTTTACATTGAAAATAGTTCTTTGCTGCTGTATTAGTGTTAGAAATGTTGTATATATAACCTTTAAATGCTTACAAAATATACTTTTGTGACTGAAAAAACCTTGAAAATACTGTCACTTGTTTTGTTTATCTGTAAGCTTTTGTTTTCTCTGCCAGTCTGTTTTCATTCTTATTGAGTACACTCTCACGACTAAAGCTACACATGAAGTGCACCTCTGACACCCACACAGCCACCCACCTGTCCACACTCATCTTCTGGGTTTTAGCTGTGGGTAATCGTTCAATTTATGATGCTCTCTGCTTTCAGCTGATCGACAGCCAGAAGCAGCAGATTGACAAGCTCACCCTGGAGTTGACGGTAAGAAAGCTGTCTTTGTTGTTCTTGGAGCTTTTAGTTTGATTGGCCCATACAGTACAGTTAATGGCTCTTTCTTTCATGGGCACAAGACAGCTGTGAGAGCTGTATTGCATACTGTATCTAGTACTGTTCTGTTTTATTGCTACATATTGCAAAGAAAATATTGCCCAGGCTGCCTTAAACTTTTGAACATCAGATAATAAGTTGAGTAGGCATAAACACAGATACTTTAATTATTTATTATTTAATTATTTAATTCCACATAAAAAACCCACAGCTGCCTGGTGCTGTGATTGGTCAGGGTCCTCACTGCACACAGTAAAAACTATTGTGATAGGTCAGAACAGTGGTGTCCAGCGTTATCCACAGAGGTCCAAAGCACTAAGAGGAGGATACGTTTGGACACTGGGTTAGAGGGCTCCTTCACATATTCCAGCCTTTTGCAGTATCAGTATTGCCAACTCCAACATTGGAACAATGATTAAAACATGTTATATGGACCATCCCTAGCACAGAGCTGAGAGCTGGGTTTCTGTGAAAGTTGGGTGCATGAGCAGGTCTTTTGATGAATGCACGTAATCAGAACCAGCAGACTCTGCCTAAGTGAAGGAAGCACTGAGCGTGCTCTGTGAAATGAATGCTGTGTCATTCCCCTCTCTCTATCTCTTTCTCTCTCTCTCTCCCTCGCACTCTCTCCGTATCAGGCGCTGGAGAAGAAGCTGCAGAAGGAGAGGGGGATCACACAGGAACTCCACAAGCAGCTGGCAGAGAGAGAAGAGGAGCTTGAGACCCTCTCTAAGAGTGTCTACCAGGTACAGCCATCTCCTGGCTTCCTTCACTGTGAGAGCATTTTGAAACCGGGCTGGGCAATATCACGACAATCTGCCAAATCACAGTATATTTTTCAGTATCATTCAGTATTTATAATTTATAATTACATCCACACACTAAATGTCCAGCTCTAACTAGTATTTTTAGCCCTGAAGATAACAGAAAATGTATTCTGGTTGCGCTGCAGTACTCCTGATTTAATAAGACCAAACCAGTTCTATGCAGCAGGGGATTTTGGTCTTCTTTTTGCCATAATCTCCTCTTGTTTTAAGATATTTTCCTCAAACTCACCTTTTTTACCCCTTCATCATGTCAGCACTGGCAATAGTTTGACAGCGAACTCTCCTGTCTGTCCAGCTGGTTTGTGTTGTTGTGAGTGAACGGCTAGACTTTTTCTCCCCTCACTGTTTATCGAGTAGAAGTATTTTACTTTTATTCTACTCCTGTTCTAAATGTATTTTTAATGCAGAAAAATGGTTCGATTTGATAATGGTCACTGTATTATCACCCAGGTCTGCTGTGAAGTGCTCTCGCGTATCTCCCTGCTGGCCATCCTTGTGAAATGTTCATGGTTGTGGAGGTTAGGGCTTGATTGAAGGCTCATTTTAGTGCCATTACGTCTTCTGTTCTTTCCCTGAGCTTTTCATAGCAGAAAGGGTCATGAATAACCCAGCTGGCCCTCAGCACACAATTATAATTCATGATGTGATTTTTCACATCGGCGTCTCAAGGTGAGAGAGAGTTGAGGCGCTCGCACACGTAAACCATTCCGCACAGACTGAGCCACACACGGCTCAAAACGACAACAGAGAAACCTTGTGTTATGGCCGTCCATTACCCAGCTGACAGGGCATTGAAGCCCATTATCAGCAGGGATTTTCCCCCCTCTCTGTCTAGTGCTCTGATCCACACATACGTGGTTGCAGTTTTGACCTTGATGACCTTGAAGTAGCACTGTTCACCACCATCAAAAATTGGATGTCAGTGAAAGAGTGAAGCTGTGGCTGCAGTCTGTTCTAAAAGGCCTTTCATGGCTTTCTGTTTTAATCTGCCATCATAGAGTTCAAAGCTGTCATGAATGCTTTTTGCTGATGGGTTGTGATGACTCTGTTATCAGTTCACTCACTTAAAGTTTTATAATTTGTTTGAACTTTCGGGAAGTCAATAACTTTGGTGGAACAGTTAGGCTTCTTCCTGGTTTGTGGTTTGTGCTGTTTCAAGTGAACAGCTAGACTTCTTCCTCTCTCTTATCAACTGAATAAAAAGTGCCCATAGCCGCTTATTTTACTAAAGCACTAAATGTTCAAAGTTTAAGCCTTTGTGGCTGATATGCAATTGGGGAACAGAATGGCACACTTTTTCAGAAATACCTTGTGCTTTTTAATATTTAATATCGATATTTTGTAATATTTAATATCGATATTTTGTTTGTAATTTCGGCAAACTGATGACCTTGATGGTACTCACGCCACAAAATCACAAAAAATCTGGATTTTTGAAGAGTGGTTGGTCTTTCATCATCTTGCATAACTGGAGGCAATCGTCAGGCTTGCTCACCTTCACTTAGTGTCAGCGTGTTTGCCGGGCAGCTGCTGGAGATCAAAGTTGCAGCTCCTCATCAGCATCGCTGATACTGAAGCCTGTGCTCAAGCTCACTGCAGCACTCTGAAGCGCTTTTGGAATCTGTCATTCACCATTAAATAATACTGATGAATTTCCCAAACAACTGCTTGAAATTCAACCCAAGTTTCATACTTTTCTTTGAATCTGTCCTAAAAACATGCCACCTCGGTCAGACAACACAGCAAGAGCTTATTCAAATGCTAGTGCTTTAATTCAGCATCACAGGGTACACATACACACATCACACACACACAGACACACTTCACATTCATGTTCACAAACATCTTGCATTTGAACTCAGCTGTCACAGTCAGCTTGAGTAGTTCTCAAAAAGTCATGTGGTTTAATCCCAAAATTACATGCCCCAATGGACAAACCTGAGCGAATAGAATAAAACCTAACAGTCATTTTCAAAACCACTGTTTCAAATTTCAAAAAGGTCATTTCAGTATACTACATTTTTTGTGGATTAAAACAGACAAAGCTTCTAAATTCTAAACAGGGAACCGAATATCACCGTAATGAACAAATACAAAAAAAAACTAATTTTAATTATTCCAACCAAACTTGTGTGACCGATACTGATTTTAAGGCACCAGTAATTCCATAACTGATAAAATTGGCTGATAAAATCTTTAATCTTTTAAATATTTAATCTTTACTGTAAATATGTCTAATATATACTGATAGTTCTCAGACAACCTCTTAAATAATATAGGAAATTGTAGCACTGGGGATGGAGTTACTCAGAATCCTTTGCATTACAGGTTCATAATGTTACAAATATGTCTATAACTGTAAATAATGTCAGGTTTTAACATGCTATAACCTGCTGAAGGTTAGGTTTGGATACATTTTACACGTATTTGTGATACTAACAATAATTATGTTCTGTGTTAAAATCTACTGGTTCGTTTATCTGAATTGGTGTCATATATTTAAACAAGGTGTGACTGATAAGGGGCGCAACTTGCAGTTTATCATCATAGATTGAGAGCTTGAATCCTGGCAACCCAAAAAGCCACTTCTTGAAAAAGCAATTATCAGCAGTATCTTTGCTGACACAGATAAAACTGTGGGTCATCCATTTTGGCTAGCTGATATGTTTGCCAGGCGATGGATAGACAGACGTACCTTCTTGATTTTGAAAGAGAACATATCGGTGCTACAGTGAATAATAGTGTATGGACTATAAATAAGTTGTGTGTCTTGAATGTGGGTGTGGGATATGGATTATTGTTTAAAAATCTCTCAGCTTATAAAAGTTTCTCAGAAATAGTCTTAACCCTTACAAAATTGAGAATTACTTTTGCTAGGCTATTATTGTTTTGCTAGGCTATTGAGATGTAAGTTTGTATTTACATGTTTACGTATATAGTTATTTAATGAATTAAATTTATATTTGATTTATATTCTCTGTCGACAGATTGGGTCTACATTTCTGGCTTTTTTTTTGTTTGACAGAAAACAAGAAAGAAATGTAAAGGATGGTTTCTGCCAAAAATGAAAAAAAAAACTGTACACACATCCAGAACTTTTCAATCAAATTCAAATCATGTTTCATAAATTGAACCAGATGTATTAAAGCAACAAAAATACTAACCTGTGCAGGACTGGACTTTCAGAGTTTTGGTCTGAAGCTTGTCCTTAATGTTATGTGTGCTTTGTGTTGTGTGTACAGAACCAAAGACAGGCGGTTGATGATGAAGTGCTGCGGCCGCTCCCGGGCCCCGTGGTGCAGGAGGCGGGGCATCTGCTGGAGGAGATGTCCCTGTGTCTGCTGGATTTAAAGGCTCTCTGCAGCATCCTCACTCAGAGAGCTCAGGGCAAAGAGCCCAACCTGGCACTGCTGCTGGGCATCAAATGTGAGTGGCTCATCCATCCACACACTATCCACTGTTTACTGCACTCGGCCTCTGCACACTTCTCTGTCACATGCCATATATTTCATTTTACCCCTAATGCTCTAACAACCTGTATGTGTGGCCACACACGCTCACTCTTTCAAATACATATTTTATGTGTATAAAAACCCACCCAACAAAAATGACAACTGTACTACGGTACTTTTTATTTACTTGGTCCTACATTTCCACTGGAGCGGATGTAAAATAAACTCAGCAGTATTTGTTGTAGAAATTAATACTCTATTATATTTAACTCTTTATCAATAGCAAAAAGAAACATTTGTACTGGCGCATCAGTTTGCTTCCAGCTCTTGTTAGCTACTTAACATCATGCAAACTGCATGCCTAAATTAGTAAGCACTTGCTTCAAACTGCAATGAGTTAAGTGGTCTAAAATAGACTTCCGTTACTTGTTAGCTATGTAGTTCCAGAGTAAAACTAAAGAAGCAAACTTCAGAAGCCAGTAGGGATTAGTGTTTTTTCTGGATATGATAAGTGATGATGCTGCTGTCCAAACTGCCTGCTCCATCTCTCTGCTCTTAATATATTCTCACCTTACCTCTCTCGCTCTGTCTCTGTCTGGGCTCAAACTGTCTCAAATCCTGCAAACCATAGCTTGTAAAAATCAAAGAAGCACAAACAGAATAGAGCATCAACTGTTAAACATGAAATCTGTTACTTACCAAGTGAGCCTTACACACCTGAATGCCTTAAGACCAAACTTGAAAGACAGATACCCCCTACTCTTATGACTGTTGACAAAATACCTCTGCTAAGCCAGTGCGGTGTAACAGTCATGATGCAGTCAACAGTAGCACTAGTGCCATAAGTGTAAAATCAAATATTATACCAAATATAATACCACTCTTTGCCTTTAGTGCAGCTTCCGTTTTTTGGAAGACTTGATTTTAGCTGTGCAGAGAAATCTGCAGGGATGTTTTTCCACACCTCCAAAGTTCAGTCTTAGAGAGCTTCTTAGTTTGATTTGCAAATTTCCTTTTCTCAGTGAGGGCTTCTTGACAGTTACACATCCTTTCAGACTCATAGTGCTGAGTTGTCTTCTCAGTGGAACTATGGACAGAAACACCTGTGGATTTTTTTTAGATCTGAATCAAGAGTGGAGCTTGATTTTCTGCTCTCTCTCAAAGATAAAAGCTTTAAGTGCTGTTTATCTGACGGAGACAGATTTGGTGGTCTACCAGGCCTTACACAGCTGTTAGGGGACCACATTTTCTGTAACTTTTAATGATTTTTTTTTATTTCCATTTTTAGAAACACCTGTCTTTTTCCATTTATTTTTCTTTGATGTTTCCCTTCCTTATGAAAGTAGATTAGCTTGTATCTTCTCAGAAAAATTTCGTACTTAATGGTCATTTTGACTGGAAATTAAATGAAGAGTCCAGTCCATTGAAAATAAAAGTGACAAATTGTGAAGTAAAGAAGTCTAATAATAAAAAAGGAATTTTAGGTTACACTTCCATTACTGTGGTGAAGTGTTTTTCGGCTTTAGACTTGCTCAGTGTGACATTAAAAGGATTTGTGCCATTTGTCAGTTAAATCCAGGCATTTTGTCAGCTTGTTAAAGTGCTATTCTTTGTCTTATTATGGCTCTTTTTATGTTTCCTGTTCCAGCTATGAGCTGCTCAGGTGAAGAGAACAAGAAGCCGCCAGTGGAGGACAGCTTGCGGGCCAAGCTGCTGGAAGTGTGCCAGCTGAGGAAAGACATCGATGACCTGCGAACCATCATCTCTGACCGTTATGCGCAGGACATGGGAGAAAACTGCGTCACGCAGTGAAGCGTCCCCTAGAGGCCGGCCTGCCTGCTTCTCCAGAGCTTCCATTCACAGCCTGTGAGGACTGGAAGACAACAAAGGGAAATAATAATAGTAATAATACAGAACTGGGCTTTAGTTGCCCTGCAAAAACAGAGGTCTCTGACTACTGAATGTTGGACCAAGCTGTGAATCTAGTTTACATGGAAGTCTTTGTAGCTCTGTGTCTAAACGCTCATCTCCAGTTAAGATGGTATCCTATAAGAGTATGAACTTTTGTTGTATATTTATTGGGACTATGGATCACCCTGTTAGTCATTACAGTAAGTGTAGGGTGAGGGATCTCCAGATGTTTAGAAACTGCAGTAATGCAACAGGAACCACAGAATACATGTTTATGAGCCCTCCTGCAGCTAATAGGGAAAGGTGTGTGAAATGGTTAGTGCTGCTCCATCAAGTGCCTTGTGATGTTCCACTTTGTTCCCCCTGTTGTACCTCTGCAGAGCCCAAAACCGTCACAAATCCTCAGTCACTTTGACCCAAAGACATTAGTCCATCTTCTCCATCAACCGCTGCTGGTCGCAGGTCGACGCTGAAGCAAATTCAACTTCACGTACCAACCACCAGGCACACGGTTGTTTACTGTCTTCCGTTCAGCACCTTGTATTTTGACAGTAATGTTACTTTCCTCTTGTGATTCTTGTGCTCGTTCTTCTTTTTCCTCTGGTAGGACTGTATTAACGATATGAACAATCCAAGCTCGCTGAAAAGCTCTAAGAAGGGAGGGTTAAAAAATAAAAAATAGGGATTAGCAGCAGAGGCGTAGAATTTGCTAATAATTGTATTGGATTTCAGGTAATCATGTCAGGAAACCTTTTTAATTCAAGTGAAAATCAGGAATGTATCTGCAGTAGAACCCAAACAGTTCCTGATCTAGTGAAAAGAACTGCTTTCACAGGTTCTGGTCCTGAGGAAGTTCTTTTCATGTAGCTCCAAAGATGACATTGAGAGGAGGAAAAAAAGAATGTTCTTGGGGTTTTATTTTCAATTCAGTGAACTCTTGAACTCACTGAATATGGCGGGGGAAACGCACACATGGGATTTTATACGCAAACAGAAAATTAGAATTGTACAAAAAACAATGTCAATGCAAAATAGTTCTCAGGTATTTTAAGTAGACAGTGTTAAGCCTCCACCATTAAGGTGGAATTGCTTTGCTTTTTCATTTCAAAAGGGATTTTAACTCTTTAAGAGTTGTCTGGTCTTAAATGTTGGATCTTTTCCATGTTGGCCCCACACAAGATTCTTCTCTGTATGATGAACAGTTCAGAGACTCGGTCATGACAATCTATGCACAAACATTTGCAAGACGATGAATGTTTTAAGATATTTATTTAAAACAATTTATTCTTCGGATGTATCTAGCTAGCAGTATAACTTATATTCAGATTTTTTTTTGCATGAAAGGCTTTGTCAGTGTGCTTCCATCATCATGTGCATGTCTCTGTTATAAAGTTCATTGTAAATATTGTCCTGATGGAACAGATTAGCTAGTTGAAGCTGGTTTATGGATATGGTTTGACATACAAAGTGCTATGCAACCTCGTATTTACCAGCATCCACTATAGACTTCAGCAGACATTGTTTTTACTGTGCCTTTACAAATCTATGCAGCAAAGTCGAAATCCTGTGTATAATGTATGTCGGCAGGATTTCCATGATTAGCATGACTTGTAAGTTCAGACAACAGATGTATTCACCTGCTGAAAAGACTACACTCCTTGATGAACAGTGCAGTCATGTTAAGCCATAGCCACAAACAATGCATATTAATACTCAGGCAAAGTGGAGACTGAAACCTGACGAGGAATGTGCTCGCCGCACCTCCTGCTTTGTACATTACCGGACGGCATTAGACGAACGAGCATGCTGTAAGTGGTGTACAGTGATTGCATTGCAGATGCAAGCAAAGGGAAGCGCATGGTTGTCATGGCCGATTCTAATCACACTGTGGGATGAAGGCCGCTGGCTGGCTTTACTGTATGGTATAGACCTTCTCACTGGTTTAAATGTAGTTTAAGCTTTTAGTTTCTCAGCTAGACTTTACATATGCCAAAGCTCTATTTATGTACCAATTTTAAAAGTATTGACAAGTATTTTTCCATTTTATACAAAAATAATAAAAGACAAAAATTTTGCTTTTCATTTGTACAGAGGATAAATAAAATATTTTTCTAAAAACAGGTGTTGCATTTTCTTTTCTGCATTAATTACAAGTATGAAACAAAACTGCACTGTTATAGTGCATAGACATAGTCCAATATGTTTAGCCAACCTACCTCAAGCTTTTTTTTTGCCACCGTACCTCATACTTGGTTTTCCTGAGGTTTGATAAGTTAGAAGAGAAAGAGCCACATTTAAAGTGTTTTACACACTACACTAAATCCAGTTGAGCAAGACTAATTATGCTGTCTTTATAATGAAACATGCAGTGTCAGTGTTCTTTCAGTATTCATGATATCCATATCACAACAATATGCATTTCTGAGCATATACTTTATCAAGATAACAATAAAGTCATACTGCCCAGACATATGTTCCATATGCTTTCTTATAAGAAAAGAACACACCAGATAACCAGATAAAGTAGTTTTATGCTGAAAGGGACTTTAATAGTCTCAGGCTGTGTTCCTGGGATTCCTGAAAGATAATAAAGTCACAATCACCTCTTCCTCCAGCAATAAAGAGGGGAAGAAAAAAAAAATAAAAATCTAGTGGTCTTCCATGAGCATTGTTTCAAATATTTGTTAGATAATGTCAAATACCCCTTAAAGGCTTCATCCTGCCAGTTTAAGTGGGATAGGAGTGATGAACTTTTAAAAAGGAAAAGACACTTGGCACCACTGCTAAAATGCAATTTTAAATATTTTTACCCACTTCACTAGTCAATATGCTTATTATTAATATGCCAAGCACTGTGGCCTAAACCTGCATGCAGAATGGTGAAATATGGGCCACAAAATGCTATTCATACAATTTGTTCATAACAGTATCACCTGCATAAAAGTTCAAGGTCTTTCAGGCCTGTGACCCACACAGGCAGCTCCATCACAGCACTTTAAAAATGTATCAGTCCCAAGAATACACTGCAGTAAGCCAGTCCAATAAAAATTCATTTTCCCAAAAAATAAATAAGAATTCTAAAAGTATATTAAAATGATGTACTCTTAAAATACAATTAAAAAAAAATAAAAAAAAATCTCCAAAAGGGATCAGGGTCAGGCATGAGCAAAGGCCTGGCCTAAGCCACAGGTGGCTCAAAGACGATCTGTGAGAGGGCGCTGGCGGTGAGGTAGCTCAGGTGGGCATGAGCACACTGCAGGACCATCCCCTTCACCGTTTCCAGATAGAGCTGCTGACCGGAATGCAGATACAGCCAGATGAGCCGACTCAACTGGGAACTCAGAGAGCTCCCATGCAAAGTATCTGCACAGAAATAGGGGAGGGTCAAGAGCACAAACAGCCAAACAGGTTTATACATGAAATGTCTGAGGACACCTAGCTTTTCAAAATGTTTATTGAGTATGCCCTTTGGGGGGTGGACACTATTATATGTTAAATAGTTTCCAGACAAGCCTTCTAATTAGTGAGTTCATTCACAGACAGCTTGCATAAACTCCAGAAAAACAGTATTGGCAACAGAACTGAATGCTGTGGAGCAGCTACACATGAGACTAAGGTCACTATGCCCAATGTCAGGCATCAGCTAGAGGGGTATATAGAGGAGTGTTCTCTGGAGAGATGCTCCATCCAGTACCTTTGGGATGAGCTGGAATGATCCAGAACTAATCATCGAACATCAGTACCTGACTTCACTAATGTTATTGAGGCTGAATGCATATCAGTGATGTTCCAACTCCTACTGTAACGCCTTCCCAGAAGAGTAAAGGCTGTTCCCTATTATTCTCTTGATTTCAGATGTCAGCACTCAAACTTTTTAGCTGTTCAAAAGCTATTTTTGTTTTTCTCTTAAACAGTTTTTTGCTTTACATTGTGTGACAATTTAAATGGACCAATAGAAATGGTCTAAACTTACTTGAAATACAACCTCTTTATATTAACTTTCAGTGTAAGTTAAGAACATTTTTGCCCTATCCTGTCAATTACTACTATGGAGACACAGGGTTTTCTTTGGACTGTGACAGATGTGATCCAGTATCACTTTGAGCTATATTTACATCTGGCCAGTATTCCAGATGTCCATCTATCAATCCATCTACTTATTTATTTTTAAATACCAATATGATTCTGATATTATCATGTATCCCCAATAAAAGTGTATAGCCTAATCAGTGCTTCAAGCTATAAGAATACCCAAGACGACCTACAGCAGGCATTTGCTTTCCTAAGCTGGTAAACAAGACAAATTACCTGTGAGACCGCAACCATCTGATAAACTGACCACCATGTCCAAGGGTCAGAGAAGCATGCAGCAGCACGTCATAAATCCCAATTAACATTTTACTGATGCCTTGTCACAAACTCGCCAGTGATGAATGGTTCTTACTCAGGCAGGCAGGGGTGAATGATCAGACTCTTTCTCCTACGGTTCACCTGTATGACCTGAATTACTCCCAGTCTCTCAGCAACCCACATCAGCACTCAAACACCAATTAACATAAGGTAACACGCTGCATCAAGCCAAGCTGTTACTCTCAGCAATCTGAACTTGAGCCAACACAAAACTTCCTGAAGCAATGATTTTTCAGATAAGCATAAAGCTGAAGATACACAGCTAGTTGCTCAATATGGCTTCTGTGGAGGCTGAAAATTGTTTTTATTGGTAACGGAGAAGATACCTTTCCTTCCCCTGTTATCTAATGATCGGCAAGTGTGCATACTCCTAATGCCATTACAGTGGAAATGTTTCTGCGCAGTGAAGATTCCCAATGATGTATTGCAAATTATTTCAACTTTGTCACAACATAAGCACCACAGCGCTCTACAGAGCTCACTGAACTTGCCTTGAGGGATCTTGGTGTCATATTCCAGCAGTGTATAGAGCTCATCAGGGAGCAGCTGTCTTAGCCAGGCATTTTCTTCTAGAAAGATCCAGTTATGCACCATCCTCTTCCTGCGCAGGAAACCCTTCACATGCTCCAGATAGACAGCACTGCCAGACACCAAATACAACCTAAACAAAAGAAACGTCCTTTAGATATTACTGTGCGATTTACGTATACGCTTAAAGTGGAAATTACACCATTTTCGCAATTCAGCAGTTGAGATGTAAACAAAGTCGTTCAGAGTGGTTGTGAAATGAACCAAGAGAAACTAACTGCCTCTGATTTCTTTACAGTGGTGGTGACAGGAACCAGGGGTCAACACAATTTTATTTACTATTCAAAACCACCAGTTAACTCGAGTCTGAGTTTTTAGGCTAACACTGTCAGAACAAAATACTGTATCTCCAAAACAGTAACTTAACAGGAACCACTTAATTGAAAGGTAAACGATGACATTCCTCAGAAAAAGTGTGACCAAAAAAAGAAAAAGAAAATAATAAAAATATTGGAGATACAGTTTTGTCCCAACAGCACAGATATGTATTGTTGATCAGGGTAAGGGATTCAAATAAAAATGTTCAGGCCAAACTATTTCAAAACTACAATAAAACATTTTGGGCATCAGAAATTATTTGTAACCATTTTAAGTAGGCTAATAACTTCATGTGATGGAACTGTTAAAGGTGTTGAACACTTTGGACATTCAATTTCATGTTAGTCAGGTCTTCGACAAACACAGCCCCCAGTTCAGACATAAATGAATAAATAAGTAAAAATTCCACCACAAGGGAGAGCAGCAATAAAGACTTTACGCATTTTTTCTTCCCTAAATCAAAGAAAAGAGCAGCAGTAAAATGCAATTCTATGATGATAAATGTATTTGTTATGAACATGGGAATAAAAACTGCATTAGCAGGCAAGTTTCTGCATTAAGAAGCAAAAAAGCAGAGCAGCATAAATAGCTTTTGCAAAACAAGCAATTTCTCAAACACATCTGAACAATGCCAGAGAACAATGTATTCTTAAGCTGTTAAACTCCAGCAAATCACAGGAGACAACCCACTCTACTCATCTGGCTGTGCATCTGTACATTAAATTAATTGTCTGCAGCTTTTATTTTCAAAACACACCAAATTAAATTTAAAAGTTTAACTGAAATTCACAGAGCCAGACCAGAGAGCAACGCTTTAAATACTAGTGAATATGTGGGTTCACAAAGTCACTGCACTCCAATCTCCTCAAACTTGGCCCAGGATTTTAGCATTATCTGATTTTAAACTTCATAAGATCTAAAACGCATCCAGTGCTTCTCACACAAACATGGATTGTGCTGCCAAGTATCCTGGCAGCCACCCAAGTGTCCCATTTTAACAATTTCCAAAATATTTCAATTTTAATTCTAAACCATACATGTCTAATTTGAATAACCACTTATATAAGAAAGCATAATGGCATGAGCTTAGATGTCCACATACGGTCACATGCAAAAGTTTGGACACGAGTGACGTTTAATTGATTCTCTAAGTGAACACTCATCCTCTACAGAGAACATACTTCTGCACCTTTACAACTACTGTTCATTTGTTGACCAATATATTTGGGGGGAAAAAAATGAAATAAAAATGTTGCCTGTGCAAAAGTTTTGGCAAATTTCATATACATTTCATTTTTTCCTAATATGTTTAACTAAGCAAATAGAAATTGTGCACTAAAATTGCAGAACATCACAATTAGAGAAATTCCACAGATTCTTCAACATTTCAGCATAATTCAATTATTGATATGTAAAGAAAGTCATTCAGAGTGGCTTGATGCAAAATGCCCAGTTCTACAGAATTATTCACAGTGGTGGTGATGGGAACCAAACATCCAAAGTGTTTGGGAGCCTCTGAAAGCTCACTTACAGAAAACTAATATAGTAAAGTGTTTATGGTTATGAATGACAGATGCCTGAGACTTTATTTTACAATAGCTGTGAGATAAGGTCTTGTCCTTAAACACATTTATTAAAACACACTCACAGTAGAGAGGTATATGCTGGGCATTGCAAGGCAAAATAGTTTCCAAAGAGAATATTTTTCAGATTTACCACTATTTTACTGATAAACATTACATATACAAACTGAAAGACATGTAGTTTTACTGGTCACGTTGGATGATAAATAAGACTTGTGTGACCCCTGGTTCCCATCAGCACCACTGTAAAGAAATCAGAGTCTGTAAATTTCTCTATAATGAATCAGTTCACATCAAACCACTCTGACACAAACTCAATGACGGAATTATGCAGAAACGTTAAATAATTGCAGGAATTCATCTTTATATATCATTTGACCAGGGTTCTTCAAACTTCCGCATGTATATTAAAAGAGCAACCAACCCCCATCCACCCCCATTCTGTCTGATGCTCCCCTCCAGACTTCTTTCAGACCTGAGGGAAACACTGGCTTCCCTTGCCTAATCTGTCAATATAAAGGAGTTTTCAGGCTGGAAATGTTCCACTTAACATGGCTCACTGTATTCAGTTGATTCTGATGGAATTGGTTTGGCTTTAGAGAAGAGGTTCATTCCACTTGTTTCGAGATCAGTCGCCTGCACTTCAAAAGATACCATCGACTAGCAGTGGATCTCACCCAGCGACTGACTGCAGGCTGTGTGTTTGAAGCTGCCAGCAGTGCCCCAGTTCTCACACAGTGCGCTCTCCTGACTTCAAAGCCCTGCCCGAAAAACGACCACTAGTCGAGCTCAAGGTCTTCTGAACAAGGTCTTCATGGAAGCAACCCTCCACTCCTTTCCAAAACACAAAGCAGTGCTCAACAACAATCTGGCCAAAAAACCTTAAAATATGCACAATCCTTGGGGCACGATCAAAAATAGCAGGCAACCAGTGTCAATCTGTTACTGGGATGGAGGACCCATTAATAAAATTAAATTTTAAAGATGGTCTCGAAAGATGCTTGTGGAACACAGTTGCTCTTACACATTCAAATCTCCTCTCCACCACCATCTCCACAGAGAGAGCAAGAACAGCATCAGCACCTACTTGTAGTAGGGCAGCGTCTCGATCATCTTCCAGTTGACGTAATTAGCAGCTGTCTCCTCCAGGGCGCACACTCGGCTCATCTGGACTTTGGCCACCTGCCAGAACCGCTCGTGCTCTACCAGGGTCTCCTGCATCTCCCTCTTCAGAAGCATGTACACGCCTTCCAGAGTGTCCTCGTACACCTGTAAGCACATTATGCTACATTTTAAAAGGGGAATTTCACTGATGTAAGAAGCAACCAAAGTTAGAGTGGTTTGATGTTAAAAGCTTTGTTCTAGAGAAACTTGCAGTTAGAACTGTTAAGAGTGGTGGTGATAGGAACCAGACATCTGAAGAGTTTAATGCCTCTAAAAGCTCCCCAAAGAAAATTATTACACAAAATGGTTACAAATACGATGCCTGACACCAGAGACATTGTTTTGAGCTAGCTTAAGAAGCAAAATATATATTTACCACTATTTTACCATTATCTACACTACAAATAAAACCTCACAAGACAAATGTACAGTTGTATGCACTCTTGGTCAAATTACACATTTTGGTGATCTTAAGTAGTAAACGCCACATCTGCACAGAACAAACATAAAAAGGACATTTCTACTATATTTAACATACTGAAAAAACATAAAATAAGGTGTGTGCATTAAGCCACACTTTCAGTTGACATCCACTAGTGGTTAAGGTTTCAGAGCTAATTTGACCCATCAGGCCTCAAGTCAGGTGTAGACAATTCCAGAGCTTAAATTCTGTGACCCTTCAAACCTCTCAGGGTGCTGGGCTTATAGACCTCAACATTATTGAAAAAACTGGTTTGATCGCAAACGTGTGCATGCATTTTTTTCCCCCCAAAATATTAAATTCAGTTGACAAAAGGTAGAATTTACCAGTGACACCCAAACTTTCACATGTTCACTTGTCATTTTAGATAATAAATAAAAGGGCTGCATTTGCATTGTGGACATCACAGCCCCCTGGATCCCATCACTTCCACTGTTTAAAAGACACCTCAAGACCAAGTTTCTATACATGGGTCTTTTCCACATCAAACTACTCTGAATGAATCTGTTTACATCTCAACCATCAAATTACTAAAATAATTCTGAAATTTCTGCCCTTCAATGGACCTCCACTGCAAAACAAGATGAAATTGGCTGCCTATATTAAACTGTAAACACAAAAATGTCAAAATGTTTCAGGGCTTATGTCTAACATGCATTTCAGTACATCGCTGGGCAAAATAAATCCCTCTTGGGCCAAAATAATTGGACATTTTCAAAATGCCACATGGATAAAAAAACAAAAAAACAAAAACAAAAAACCAGAAGCATCAATCACTTCTAGTTTTCCCACCATGTCCTTGAATTACTGCTGGTGGGAGATGTTTTTACAGTGCTGTGTAATACGGCGAGAGCGTGCGTTCACACATGCAGTGTAATTGAATGGGACACACATTGATATGCCTAATCCATTTAGCCAGCCATTAGATGGGAGGCTGAGCTTCCTGTTGTCTGCTCAAGCTGCGACCTGTGAAATCACTGGCAGTAGCTAATGAACTGAAGACACATAATGGCAGGAGCTGTATACCACTGGAATACATAACGATCTGGCACGTTCTGCCAGCAGCTGGTTTACAGAAGAGTAATAAACAAATCATTCAGATTTAGCAGTTCTGAACATGCGAGAGTCTTAAAGCATGAATACAACTTAAGCATTTGATTTAAGTGTTTTGTACCAGAAATAACATTACGCTTCATTCTACTTCATTCTCTTAAAGTCAATCTGAAACCAAAACTGACTTTAAATTATTAGTTCATGTTCCTGATCAAATTAAAGCAGAGTTTCAGTGATTTGATATGAAATGCACCACTCTAGAGAAACTAGCACAGTCAAAACTGCACAGTGGTTTTGATGGGAACTAGATATCCGAAAAGTTATTACATTAAATGGTTATTAATACCTTGACTATTGCCTGAGGCACTGTTATGACAGTTTTGAGAATGTTTTAGGCCAAAACTTTCTAAAATCCACTAATGGCAGAGATACATGAATGATACAATGACACAATGAACCACTGTACAAGAAATATCTGAATGACTTTACATTTTAACCACTGAATTATGCAGATTCTGAAATGCCTCTTTACACATGACCCAAAAAAAAACAAACAAGCAAAAGCAAAGACGTTTCAGGCATTTGGAGCAGGCCACATCACTGCTGCCCAGTCTCAAGTGACCGAAGGCCCAGTACCTTTGCTGAGTCTGATAGTTAGAAACCTCCAATTTAAAAAGACAAAATTCCTGTTTGCATTGCATTCCAAAACAATGACTTTGCCTCACCATCAAAACATCTTTTGAGTTTTGAATGCATCACTGTGCAAAAGCAGGTAGGGAAAAGGTTATGTTAACAAACATCTTGCTTCCTCTCTTCCTCCCACTCAGCTAGCTCAGAGACCCTCCCTGATACTGTGGTTCACTCAGAAATGGGCCACGATACAGAAAAAAAAAGTGGACTGTGATTCCCAACTGATGCCAACTTTAACTAAGAGAAGAGCAACTCGGTACCTTTCTGCGTTTCAGTTTTCCCCAGTCACGGCCCAAGATCCAGGCCACTAGTGATTTGCACATAGAGAAGTAGTTTTCCACTGTATGAATACCTGCAGGGTGGGGGAAAAGTCAACTGGGACATGAAATGTAGCAGCACTTAGGCCTGACTAGATTAGAGGACTAAATTTTCTAGATCTGAGACTAAAAAGGATTTTCACAGAGTAATCCCTATCGACAGTGCAACTAATCCCAGAAATAAGATTAATCTGTCTGGATAACACAATTTAAGAGTCTGAGATAGAGCCATTTGATCACTAAAACTTTGACTCCTTTCCTGTCGAGGAAAACTTCTTCCAGTGAAAACCTGAAAGTAGAATAGATGGCAGGAAGCAAAGATGGTGTTTTGTGTTTGGGGTGGTGGTGGAAGGGCTGTTAACTTTAAGCATCACAAAACAATGTAGACAGTGACACCACATAGAATGACTGTCCCATCCACCCAGATTGGGGGAAAAAACAAAATACAACATAACCCTAAACCAGCACACACAGGCCTAGTAGCAGCAGTTAAACAATACTGAAATCTGGAGCTGCTGTAGCCCCCTCAGCACACCCACTTCCCATGTCCCTGGCAAGGAGGAAGTCTAAAAACTGCACCAAATCGGTAATTGAATTAAAAGATCAAGTTCACTTTAGTTCAGCCTCTGAACTACAAAGTCACTGGATCTTAATTTAGATCAACTTATGTTCATATCCGAATGTCTGAGAAGAAACATGTTCAAAGGTGCATATCATTCTTCAATTTTATAATTGTGTGACCTTACATATTGGTTATTATGCTTAAGTGCACTTAGAAGATACACCAACCATCTCTAAAGCTGAGAATTTTATAAATACAGGGTCAGAAAAAAGCCAGCAGCTCTCCTTTATATCTGACTCACCCACGTTCTCGTCTCCCCGAGCCAGGTGGCCCCTCCAGTAGTCGGAGGTGATGGGGTGCAGTGAGGCTAGATATCTTACATCGCACAGAGTTTCTCCCCACGTGGCCACTTTCTTCTTGCTGTGCTTTCTCCACTGCAGAAAGATGGCCCGCAGTTGTCGGTTAAATGGTGCTGGTTGGCGGAAGAGCCAGTAGGTGAAAAGCCATTGAAACCTGCACTGCATGTACTGGTGGTACATGGACTCCAGCTCTGAGTGGTCTAGAAAACAGAAGGACCAGTGTGATAGCAAAAATGTATAGCTTTTAAGCTTTATAAGCATAGTTTCCTAATCTTTAAATGTCAGACAGCAGGGGAGAGCAAGGCTCAACCAAACATTTTGGATTAATCTAAAAGAAGATCTGTGTAAAAACCATCTTATAGAGCTTGAGAACTGATGTCACACTGCGCTGCGTTACGCCATACTAGCAGGGTTCGTTCTTTGTTTACATGCTGTAAATACTCACATACATTATGAGGGCTTAAAAAAAGACTGTTATATTGTGTTTTCAGGCTTGTCATGCTTCATATTAAATCAAATGAAATGACAGTATCGTAAGCAACTCAAACAACTACATAATGATAAAATTGGCCTTACTGATGGTCTGAATCCAAACAAACCTCCAAAAAGTGAGTGGAGTAAATCATCTGGACATGCTAATGTTGTCTCATTTAATTTACAGACTGATCTCACAGGTTGGTATATACACACACAAATATAACGAACTGTTCAAACCAAAAGAACCTTTCCAACCTAAATACACAAAACACACAGCAATCAAAATAAATGATTTGTGAAAGAGCTAATACCTGGAGACTGTACTATAGCCTTATTAGCCTTTGCTGCAAGTTATTTACAAACTACAACAGTGCTCTTACAGATGGGACGACACTCTGTAATCAAAAAATAATTTACTATTATGGCACAAAAACAAAACAGCTGGTCAAATATCAAGAGATATCTGTCAGGTTGCCGTAAAACTTCACAGACGACACTGTGAAAGTACACCAAAAGCACATTTTACTTGGACCCCTCATTCATTTCATTCCATGTTAGGCTGCACCCTGCACTCCCCTACAGAAATCTGTGGCTGTGTAAACTTCAAGCCATATTCTATTTATATCTAAAGTTCAGTAGGGAACCATGCTAGTCCTTCAGTTCAGGCCATTAATGTCTATTAAATGACAATGACCTAAAAATTACAGACATTAATCTTTTTTAATGATTTCACAGAAATCATTACGCCTTTGATGAACTCTGAAAGCCTAGAAGGCTCTAAAGGTCTAAATTTTAAAATGAGTCCATTATTAACATAGTAAAACAAATCAGACAAGAATTACCACTGAGAAGCAGAACAGAGCATGTTTAAGTCATTTAGAAGCTTAGAAATCCCACTACGCATTGAAAGTTGTAACCTAGACAACCAGGACACAATGCAGAGGTAAAGAATGAGTCATGATTTTACTCTAAGACAGGGCCTCCCTGTCATGCACAAGCACCCCAACTTTCAAACCAACAGTTCATTACAACACTTTGAAGTTACTAAAAAATTGGATTATTGTGTTTTTCTTCAAAAGGCTTCCATCGCTTTTACGGAGAGGCATGGGAGGCAGGGGGTTTACAGACAAGAGGAAAATGTCTAAAGGTCTAGGAAAGCATCAGTTCTTTAAAGGGAAAATGTCCTTTTTGCTGATAAAAGTGGCAAACGGCACTCTTGCACAAAATCAAGCCTGTGAAAAGATGCATCTACTACAATAAAGCAGGCTCCAGTGTAGACTTCTACCAAAAAGTTTCCACCAGTACATTCAGTCCAATGTTGGCAGAATTCTTATTCACTAAGCAGCAACAAATTAGCTTAGACAAATAATCCAGTTGTGGGTAAATAAATATTAATAAAATGCAAATTATGATCACAGATACTCAAAACAAAAAAGCAATAAATTCCTGTTTCTCTTCAACCAGAGTTTATAAATGAATCAGATAGTCCACCAGCAACACAAGGGAAAAAGCCTTTGAGTAAATCAAACTGATTCAGCTAAGACCCAAAGTTCAGACTAAGATGAGACCTGATGGGAACTGATGAGAAGACCAGATGGACATGGACTTTTTGTAATACTGTCTGCTTACAAAGCCTACCCTGGAACTGTATACCCTGAAACTGATCGAACTGGATGGTCAAAAGGGCCAATTATTTACCGCTGTCTTGGTGTTGGGAGAGAACGTGATGAAACACCATCGCAGCACTGCCATGATGACTGAGGGCAAGGTTATACAGCTCCCTCCATTCAAATTTGAGGGTCTCGCATTCTTCAGATTTGTCTAAAAGTAAAATTACAAAAAAAATAAATAAATAAAAGATCAGCAAAACAAATGGACAAATAGTTCGCTTCACTTATCAGATGAACTTCTTATCAACTTCTCTGGCTGGGAACGTGAACAGACTACCTTGAAGCTTCTCTCTGAAGAGCTCTCTGGGGATGCCCCACAGCTTCTCCACATCGCTGCATAAAAGCAGTGCTGAGGGCAGGGGCACACGCTCCTCCAGTACAAGCCACTGGCTCCAGTACACACGAGGTGGAAACGGGACTTCAGCAAACAGCTTCTCTTGAAGCGAGCGGTTACAAAGGATGTTTCGGAATAGAGTTCTCCACATGAACACCAGACGGAAGGCAGTTTTGGCCAGGACGGTGGAACTCGCTGTGCCATTTGGAAGGCCAACACCAAATGAATCCTGAAGCAGATGGAGGTGGAAAAATAAATGTTAGTGTTACATTTCAGTCTACATCTTCAACAAAGCTGCAAGATTACAAGACCAGACTCATCCTTTTCTCCCTCCCCTAGGCCAATATACTATCAAGCCATATTTAGGCCTGATATTAATACCTGGTATTGGATCACTGCCATCTCTAGTTACTGCACACTGTAAGCCAAGGAAGAAGGCAAAAGCTGGTTTACAACACTATCTTTTCCCTTCTATTTACTGTTTACTGACCCCCCCCCCCTTTTCCCCCCAGTCACACTGCTTCTTAACAGATGAAGTACACGCAAGTCGGCCTGACAAAATTTACTGTGCATACAAAAAGGGAAACACACACACACACACACACACACACACACACAACAGATTTCATAAAATTAGATGAATTGAGGTTGAGACCAAGGTTATATTACCACTATTAGCACCTTTGTTACAGCTAAAAGAATTACCCCAGTAATGAGTTAACACACTGCCACAGTACTCCTCTTAAATGGCAACTTAGGCTGAAGCAAAATAAGTGAAAAATGTATTACTTTTAACTGTTGAATCATTTATAAAACCTCAGAGAAGTCGGTACAGAACTGCAAAGAAATTTCCTACTATATCCAGGCAAAGATCAGTGTTGGCAAAAAAAGCTGCGCTCCAACTGGCAAACCTGGGTTCACATTAGCTAGTACTTTGTTGTAAAAACAACAAATTCATTAAAAAACATATCAAAAGTTGTATACAGATTAATCATCAAACCAGGAATTGCATATGGGAAAAAAACACCATGTTTGAGTAATTTTAGTTTAAGTTGTGCCTCATTATTTGTGAGGCTCATGAGAAAATGAGACTGATCCAATATTTTCTGTAAAAATACTAATCTTTACTAATCAGCTTATATCAACCCAACATGGGCCCCTGGTATCAGACTGGTGATCAATACAAAACACTGTAAAAACTGGATGAGGACAGAATTTGGTTTGAAGTGAGGTTAAAAAAAAATGTGCACTTGTTCAGTGTCCTATTTATTTCACTTTGCACAGTGGTTTTCAAAGCATTTCTAAAGTAAATAAAACAAGTTAAATCGGTTTTCACTTTATGATAGTCTGTTCGGTTGAACTGAAACCATTTTATTTTACATTTAAAAACGATTTAACGGTTTTAACCGAGCGGTGACGAAATCGCGGTTTTCATTAAGGAGGACCAAAACAAGTCTGCGACAGTTAAAAAAAAGAAATAACAGCACAGTAATACAGCGGATGAGTGGAAACTAAGAGGACTTTTAATTAAGTTAATTAAGATTAATTAACATTCCCACTTTTCATTCATTAACATTCCCAATTTGTGTTTTAAAAACTTCGCAACAGAAGGAAACCGATTGCTAACAAGCTAACGTTAGCTAGCGAAGCTGGTCAGTTTGTTATTCGAATATTCCCGCTCCACCTTAAATGGCTGCAGCAGTTTCATTCTGGAATGCAACTGAATGTACTTGCTAGAGTATTTAAGGTGAAACGGGAAAGTTAAAACTAAAAGCGGGTGAAGAAAAAGCCGACTTCAGCCTCGTCAGCTAGCTAACATGAGTTTGTTAGCTTGAATATCCGAGCCGTGTTCGGCGGCGATGTTATTAATGCGCTTTTCTGCGCTTTTAACCGAGACAAAGCTGACCTGAAAGTGGCGAACCCACAGCGAATCACAGGAACCGATTCTGAAGAGGGCCGAGCAGGTGCTGCCGAGTCTGAGCAGAGACACGGGGTCCAGGAGCTTCAGAATACCGAGCAGCACCTCGTCGCTCAAATACAGCAGACCGACACCGCCGCTATCAGCGTTCAGGAGAGAGCTGCTCTCTTCACTTCTCAGCCCATCCTCGTCCGGGGCTGTGGACATCCTGGAGAACTGCTCCAGCAGCCCCTCACTCTCCCAGGCCGTGTCATGGTCTGCCATACCTGCCCTGCCCACCTTTGCCATTACCGAGAGACGACTTAAAGGGTCGGGAAGTACCACTTTTGAGCCCCGGGGGGTGAACAGAAGGGCGTTCAGCTTTTTATCTAGTTTCATCACAAATTTCAGCATTAAAATGCTTTTAGTTCATGCTTAAACAAGATAGTTCTTCAGGGGTTCTTCAGTAAAGCCAGTGAACCACGAGTTCTATATTGATCCATTTCATGCTTAAATGATTCTTTGCATGCCGAATGGGGTTTATATTGATATAGAATGTGTTGTATGTTGTTCTGTACAGAACCTTTATGAAAATGGTTCTCTATAGCACCAAAAAAGGGTTCTTCTGTTGTGTACAAGCTTGACATCGTAACAATAGAAGAAAGCTTTTTGGTGCTTTAAACGTTAATCTGAAGAACCATCTCACCAGGCAAAGAACCATTTAAGCATGAAATAGCTCTATATAGAACTCATGGTTCTAAATGGAACCATTCCCTTTACTAAAAAAGCCTTGAAGAACTATCTAAATAACCAAAGTGTGGTAGTAAAATAATTTGAGTTTAGCTTGTAAGATTTTAGATTATGATTTCAGTTTTCATGGCCTTTCACAGTTTCATTTTAATCAGAGGAACACTTCTTTTTCACTGGTATGAATTAAATGATACTATGCGGTAATACAGTTTTCACAATTAAAAATCTAATTCTCAATCTATTTAAAATAAATAAATATTTTTACATGTAAGAACTACTTTTTAAGAGAGCCTTTCGTTGAAAATGTTCGTTTCATTAAAATTAATTGGGAAAAGTGACAAATTCTTACTAATGAGACTTGAAATCTTACGAACTAAAATTCCTAAAGTAAAAGTTTCAAAATGACATGAAAATTACATTACATTTTTACATTACATTTCTTGTTTTGTTTAGTACTAATAACATCTTTATTTGTTCAGATTGCATTTCTGAAATCAAAGTGTGTGTACTATAAGGTAAAATGGGTTTCTTTACCACAGCAGTGATGGATTTACCTCCTTAATGAGTGAGCTAACAGGCCTAGCACATTATTTTTTACCAACATATGCTATGGGTAATTTTTACATTTTAAAACTCTTATTTTGTTAAATTAATGCTTCTAAAGTAAGATGCAGTGAACAATGATTTGTGATCATATACACTATTCGAAGCAGTAAAACTTACTTTTAGGAACTCTAATTTACTATTAATGGAGCAATGCATCATTCTTTTAGTAAGACCCAAGAACACAGAACAGACTGCATGTAATCCTATGACTAGTCTTGAATATTTTTATATAGTTATCGGCTTCCGTACATCATCCACTTTCTCTCAATCGGAGGAACACCGGGAACTGAAGCTGGAACCTTTAGAGTATTTTTTAGCTATGAAAATAAAAGATAAACAATGATTTTGTACAAACACTTTTGGTTAATACATTGATTTAGAAATATTTAGCTATAATTTACAAAATAACCTGAGTGCATGATGTTACTGTAATGTTTCTAGGCCTCTGCAAGAGACCAATGGTACAAGATCATTTTGCGACTGACCTACAGCATAAGGCTGTGGAGGTGGTTTTGCACTTAGTTTATAAACACATTTATCAAAAAAGGGAAATGCTTTAAAAGCATTGTTAGTCTGTCATAGGCTATTAGTATTCTGTCATGTGAGAGGGATTTGTGATTTTCATCTTCTGTTAATCATATCAGTGTTCATATGTTTACAGTATGAGCTATATCTTATACTAGACTTTTGTAAAGTAAGAGTCCACCTTAGCACCCATATACTGAACACTTAGATTGACAGAAAGAGGAATAGTAACAATAGCAACGTTGCAGTGGTATCTTACACATTGAATCATTTTCAGCTTTAAGACAAAGATACTTTATTTAAAGCGACAACTCAGACACATTAAGAATCCAATATTTAAATGACAAATAAAAAAGTCAAATGATTTTTTAGAGGATCTGTTCAAAATAACTTTATACATAAATTTTATCCAAATGTGAGAATACTTAGGACTATGATGCAGCTGATGATCAGCCATAAAACAAACTAAACAAAACTTGGGAAAGACAAGTTCATTAAAGTTATTTTTTCTTTTCTTTTCTTTTCTTGTCTTTCTACAATTTTACAATCAATTGCTAGTACACATTTCATAATTAACACAAAGTGTTGTATATTTTCTTGACTGAATTAAAAGGAAACAAAACCAACCTAAGACATTCATTTTGCTTACTTAAAAGGATAACAACCAAGGAGAAACGGTTAAACAGCTAAAATATAATTGATGAAAGAGTCTCATGTTTTGTGTGTCTTCATTTTGTTCTTCAGAGGAATACTATCTAGAGATGGCACCGATCTGCAACAATGGGCTGATATCAGCAGAAATTTCAGACTGGATAGATATCAGAGGGAAAAAAAGAAATGTTGAATTCGATCCAATACTTTAACAAATCTAGCCTGAAACAGCACACAGCATTGTGGCCTCCTTTAGATGCTCTTAAATGCACTTTACATGCGCTTGACAGGGCAACCTGCAGCAGCGGACACACACAATATTTTAGCATGTTTTTTTTTTTCCAATTCAGTAACGCTACATCTTTCAATTTTAACCAAAATTCTTACATTGTGCAGCTTTAAGAGAAGTGGTTCAATTAAAAATGGCTAATTTTAGTAGTTTTTAAAGGAGAAATAATGGATTGATATTGGCCAATACTCAAGACTCAATATCAGTCTCAGAAAAGTAAAAGTGGTATCAGGCCATCTCTAACAATATCCTTTTTTTAGCACAGATATCCTCTTGACAACACTTGGTGTAAAAGTGATCTGTTTAACCAACAATAGCTATACATGGCAAGGCACTGGCTCTTGACAAATCAATATGTAACTGATCATAACTCAGCATTGCTGTTTTCCAGAAGACCAAGATTGAGAGAAACAAGTCAGAGGCAAAAACTATTCATGAGAGTAGCAAGAAAATCCATGTAAAAATTTCAAATACATTGAATCTTTTGTGCTCATATAAGAAAATAAAATAATCACAATGGCGCATTTGCACAAACAGTCAGCACAAATCCTTCTAAACACTTAAACTGTTGCAGGGGTTTGGGGGGGGGGTCATGTCTATACGTGGATCTGAGAAAGTCATTGATCACTGCTACCTATTCACAGTTTGTGATCACAGTGTACTTGTTTGCTACGTGGTTATATACATCATTCAGTGATTATCATCATTCACTTTCTACAGACTGTGGGAGGGGCAGTGGATGATTAAATCGGTAAAGCTCCATCCTTTCAGGCCACTCGAACACGAGGCTCATCCTCTATCTCCTGGCCCAGGCTGCTGTAGGTCACTGAGGGCTCCAAGGGCCCCACATTCGGCGTGTCTGGAACAGCGTTTCCTGCGTTGCGGAACTGTTTGTAGACGCGAGGATCCTGCGCTACGTAGGTAGATGATGAGGAGTAGAGCACCAGCCCAAGCAAAATGATGAAGAAGGACAGCAGGTAGAGCCCTGAAAACTAAACAGAGAGAAACAAATTTCTGAGCTTAACACAAATATATATAAACATCAGCCATATATTGAAGTATTTAAACTTGTCAGTGAGATTTAGGACACAATATGACCTACTGTGAACTATAAACATGAACAAAACTTCACTCTGTAGCTGAATACTACAGGTTAGACAGGTATTATACTGTACGCTATAGACTTTCCGTAGTTTCTTTTTATAAATTACTGTTAACGCTGAACTTGGTGTACATTTGCCTGCGCAACATACATGCATGTGAGGGGAAGCTGGAAGTCAGAATTCAGACAGCATGAATTGTCTAAAATAGCTGCCCCTAGCATTCAGCTACACAACTAACTTGGTCATTTTTTATAGTTTACAATAAGTCATACTGTGTCCTGAACCACATCAAGTCTGCATGACCTTAATAAAGACCTGGATGTTTGAGAGATGCTTAAAGGGGAATTCCACTGATTTTTCAAAAAATTCTGCAAGAGTGATTGAGATGTAAATAAAATCATTCAGAGTGGTTTGGTGTGAAATGGTTCATTGTAGAGACTCAAATTTCTTTACAGTGGTGCTGATAGGAACCATGGTTCGCCAAGTCTACTACACAAATATAGTCATTTTATTTATTATCCAAAACCACCAGTGAACCTACATGTGTCTTTATATGGAATATTGATGATGGTAAAATAGTGGTAAAGAAAATAGAAAATTTTGCCTTAGAACACCCTTGATGTATCCCTCCAGCATGAATAGATTAAAATAAACTGATTAGAATGTTTTAGACTAAAACTTTGTGACAAAACTGATCAGACTGAGTATTTCTTATAATTTAATGTTATACCTTTTTGTGATGGAGCTTTTAGAGGTTGCTATCACCATTACTGAGAAAAATTCTGACGCTGTAAGTTTCTCTAGAACAGAGTATTTCACACCAAAAACTCTGAATGACTTTACACCTTAACCATTTAATTACGTAAAACTTTTGAAAAATTGGTGGAGTTCCCTTTAACAAGACCTGGAGGTTTGAGCAGGTCAAAAGAAATTTTAGGGATGTAATTATGGCAAATTCACTTCTAGCATTTGTTAGCAATATTAGCTTCGTAGCTCAAGTTTAATGCTAAAGAAGTAAATGAGCATTTTGGAAAGAGCCAAACTAATCTGCAATGAGGCAAATTCATCACAAAGAACTTGTTTACACCTGATATTAACATCTGTCCGAAGTGATCTGGTTATGTGGACAGCAAGACTTAAATGTGACCACTTATGATCAGATTTAGTAACTGCAGGAAGGATGCTGTGCACATTTACTACATCAGACTCTCTCAGTGTTTGTCATTATCATCATTGCTTGTGTGCTTGTAAGGACTGTCAGACATGTTAAGATTGCACAGATTGTTAATGCAACTTATTAACAAGTTGGTGGTGGCAGGTAGCCCAGTGCTAGAAGCCAGCAGCCGGAAGGTTGTGGGTTGAAATCTCAGGACTAACTGGGTATT